TGGGGTTCACTCTCAACTACCACTAAACAAAATTTCAGCTGAATAGCTCTAAAAATGGCTGATGTTTTTCTTTTTAGCTAAAGCGTACATCTTGGATTTTTGGTTTAATTGGATTCAGTACAGTATATGATAGCGAACATTCTCAACTATAACCTCACCAAATGTGTAAAAATATAAATGGCTGAGTTAAAGTGATTTAAATGTAGCTTTGGTGGCCATCTTGTATTTTTGATTTGGATGGAGTATTTGATGGGAAACATTCTGATATCACACCAAATTTCAGCTCAGTATCATTAAAACTGGCTGATTTATAGTATTTTTTTCCTTTTTAGCTCAGGTGGCCATCTTGGATTTTTGATTTTCAGTCAGAGTCTAGTAGGGATTGACCTTAGCTGCCAATACACCAATTTTCAACTGAATAGCTCTAAAAATGGCTGAGTTGTCATATTTTTTCCCTTTTAGCTAAGGTGGCCATTTTGGATATTTGATTTGTATTAGGAATGTATAACAACTCGCTCAGCTATGACCATACAACATTTCAGCTCAATATCTCAAAGAATGACAGTGTTAAAGACAATTTTGCGTTTGCTGAAGTAGCCGTGGCAGCCATCTTGAATCAAAATGGCTCGTTAATTAACGTTAATCAACTTTCATTACTGGTTCAAACAATCAGTTCTAGTTCTGATGATACAGTGACTTTTGAAGATTTCTTCAGGGACCTCTATACTCGTGACCTCACAGCAGCAAATAGTGTGAAGTGTTCGGTCAGGTTTTTTGTATGGGAAATATGGTGGCTTTGTTTACCAATTACGTCGCCATGGTAATTTGAAATGCGAATAAAGGTAATGGCACATCACGGTGTTGAGCCGATCGTTTTGATGGAACATTTGTGGGGGTACACGTTGTGGTTCAGGCTGCACAGCTGCAGAAAGAAAAGCTTTGCAGAGAGTGGTGAAGGCTGCACAGAAGTCGGTCGGAGTCAGTCTCCCCACCATCACAGACATCTACACCTCTAGATGCAGGAAGAGAGCCACCTGCATCATGAAGGACCTCACTCACCCAGCACACACACTTTTTGCCCCGCTCCCCTCAGGAAGGAGGTTGAGAAGCATTAAGTGTAGAACCACTAGACTGAGGAACAGCTTCTACCCTGAGGCTGTTAGACTCATGAATCTCTAACTAGAATAATCACTGTGAAAAACCATATCATGTTGCTGCTGATCTGTTTCATGTTGCTGCTGATCTGTTTCAATGTTGATGTGTTCATGCGTGCTCATCTGCTCACACAGACTCATGTTCATGTTTGTGCTGATGTTCAATGTTTTTATATTATGAGTGCTTAGTGTATATTTAGTTGATGTTTTTCTTGGTTCATATCTTAGATCTTATTACTGTTTTTCTTATACATTTTATTGTTGGATGTAACTGGGACCCTGTGTACATAATTTCGCTATACCACATGTACCACATGAGGTGCGAATGACAATAAAGATACTCTGACTCTGATTAAAGTTGGCGGAAGACAAAGATATAAATAAAGTTAAGAAACCCGAAGCCAGGTGGATAATAATAAGTGTCTGCCATTCTACAGTACTGTAGAATCTGGCAGTCCCCAATTACTAAGGAAACAAAAACATGGATGAAGAAATGGCAGCTAAAAACTAAAATAAGATCAATGGAAAAAGGGAAAAGAAGCAAAACTAGAAGCTGAAAGGAACAAAATAATAGCTTAAAATGAAACAATGCATAATGATAGCTAAAAGTGGCCGAATGGTCAAAGCTAAAAGTAGCACAAAAGACAAACGTACAGCATGCTGAATCAGATTTTAAAGCAAACTGCTTTTTTTTTTTTAAGGAATTCAAGCAATTTTTATTCCAAATTATAGATTATTAAATTAATTAACTTGGAAAGTAAAACTGTTAGTTGGCACACTATTCTTGATCAAGCTGAATGTTTGGAATAATGAATAATTCAAACAATACAAAGTATGCAGAACTGCAAAAACTTGCAGAAGAAAATGAAAACAGGAAAATAATACAGCGAATGCTGACTGTTCAGTGTCCTGAGAGGACTTTTGTTGTGAATTGGCGCTTAATAAATAAAGTGAATGGAACTGGATTCACGCTGTCAGGTTGTACCAGAAATAGTCATTTATCATGGGTGCAGACTACTAAAGATGTTAAACTGTAAAAAGAGACGGCGTGTTGTTTGCTTGGCGTCGTCGGGTCATGATGAATGTCAGATCTCCGTGAATCCACCCAGAGTTCTGAGCACGCTTAAGCAATCATGACCTGGCATAAGGTCCGTGTATGAAATCAATTATTCACTTGGAAGGTGGAGGAGAGCCGGCCCATCTGCTGAGAGGAACAGTGCTGGCTGACTCACTGAGCTGCAGGACGAGCTACTGCTTAATTATCATCCAACAACGTGTCGCTCCAGAAACTAGATCCAGATCAAAATCTGTGAAACCGCTTTTGCTTTAGTAGCATAGGAAGGCATCTCTCTTTAATGGTTTGGTTATCGCCCGTTGTCACAATCGAGTTAAAACTTGGTGTGGTAGTAGCCGACACTGCCCCCATCAACACTTTCTGAGTAGGAACAATCTGCACAAGATCTTTGTCTAAAATTGAGCCAGTAACTTTCTGAAGTCAACTCTGCCTTTACATTTAAATGTTAAAAGTGTGGACTGTAATTAACTTTATCAAGCTTGTAGCAACAAATAATGCATCCGTCATGAAGAGACTTGAAGCGTTCAAATAAAATAAACATCATTTACAAATTCTTTCAATGACGCACAATGTTTGAAACCCTGGAAAAGACAACACTTTCTGCAAATGAGTCCCTAATATTAAACCTGCAACAGCAGGACTGATTTGTAGACACGACCACATCAATAAATAAATATTTTATTTAATTGAAGTTGCTCTTCAAGCCTTTAATGTCCATTTGTGCAGATTTTCTCACGTTCAGAAATACAATTAAGTATTTTCCTGTCAGCTGGTTGGCTAACTCTGGAGCTGCACTGCCCCCTAGTGGGTAGAATAAGTACTGCAATAAGTACTACCAATCTCCCCCAAACTGTTTTTACTAATTATATATAAAAAAAAAGCTTGCAAATAAAATACCAGAATATACCTAAATTTTTAGGTTTAAATCTAAAATACAATTTATAAACATGATTTTAGGTTTATTGAAGGCTTTATATGTTCAAGATGTGTTTTTTTTTTATGGGATAAAAACTGTGATTGCCATTAATGAATGAAACAGCTTGTGTCTTAAGTTTGGGAACTGATTTTTTTTTTTTTCAATTAAATTGTTTTAATGACATGAGCTTAAACAAAAATCTGCATTCTTCTATTTGAACCAAAGTTGTAAATATAGAACTGTACTGCCATCCTGAGGTAAAAATGTAGATGTACACCATCAGCTGTTTGAATCGGCATCACTACTTAAAGCTGAAGAGTCAAGTAAATAACGGGTGATAATGGTTTTGTTAGCAAAATATCTCATGAACCAGTGGACAGAAACCTAGAAAGTCATCTTCAACATGTACTCGATGGGCAACATTTTAAAATTTTGACCAAAACAGCTCCAAGTTCATTTAAAGTTTAAACTGTGGCGTGAAAGGAGGCGGGCGATAAGCATTTCTTCAAGGCGTGCTGGGCCTTTGATTATCTGGATTTAGACGACAAAAGAGCCTGAGTTTAATACAAAACTACAGGCTTTTCATTTGAAACAGAACAAAGAGAAATTTGTAACGTTTTAAATGCAAAGAACGTTAAAAACTGTTTTCTCATTACTTTAGCGGGAATAAATAACACCAAAGAGAAAAGAAAGGACTGTTTTCTAATGTAGCAAAGTTTTACTGAATCATGATCAAATAATCCAGAATAAATTCATAGAAAATTACATGTGAGACGTCTGTGAGATGTTTCCTACTGCGTTTGGCCGAACATCAGTAGTAACTATACTGCAAGCATCTGTCTTTTTTTCAAAATATATTCTTATGAAGCTACTTCCTATCTACAGCCATGACTGTGCGCCAAAACACGTGGACAGTTACAGCGAGCATAAATACTGACATCTGCTACAGTAAGAAGTCAAGCAGTCGGTGTTTGACAGATAAAAATAAAAATCTACAAAGACAACTTGAATGAGACTTAATGACTCCTAGAAATAAGAAAATGTAAATACTTTGTGTGCCTCACTTTCCATCTGTACAAAATCTGCTTTTAAAGATACTTCATATGTTCCGGTGCCGAACGTCGAACACCTACGGAGCGACACGGATTCATACTGTGACATTTCCAGCATTCTTATACGAGACGTGTTGAATACATTCATTTACATTTATAAGGCATGGGAAGAAAAAGGTCGAATCACAGTCTGAAGAGAAGCCGTCCACTAACACAAGCCCATTTGACAGCAGCATGTAGCCAGAGCTCACTTTTGGCTTTTACATGCACAAATCAGATGCTAAAAAAAACAAAACAATATGCGTTAATGATGAATACAGAATTTGTAGATTAAAAAGTGGGTAAATAAAAAGTTAAAATTTAAAATGACAGACTTGAATAAATTGGTTATTTTCGGGTGCAAGAACTTGTAGTTTTTTGTGATGGTGCTACTGAATTAAAAAGTTCAACAAACCAAAAAGAAAAATAAAGTAAAACATATTTGTAAAACCATTAAAACGTCCAGTGGAAAGAGAATCCAGTGATGCTTTTATATCCAGTGGCTCCAACAGATCATTCAAATATTGTGCTTCTGATTTTTCCATGAGGTTCATGTCTTTTTCTTAAAGTCTCCTTGGTCCTTCATTCAGTTTGAGCAGCTTTACGAGCGACTAGATAAAAGCTGTGGCAGAGGTCCTTGTCGTCACGGCAACAACAGCATTGACTAAAACTAAAACGGGTTAAGGGCAATAAAAGAAACGAGCAGAGATTTAAATCAGCTTTCAGTCACAGGTGAGCAGGTTTTGTTGGTGTCGTGAGGTCACCGACGTCCGTTCCCGTTTCTTGATGATGCCGACGTTGGAGGCGGGGTCTAATCTTAGAATAAAACCAGGAAGTTCACGTGTTGAGATGTTAATGCTGAAGTTTTGTGTCAGTCTGAGTCAGTAACTAAAATTGTTCTTGTGTTGCATGGAAGCTGCCTCTTCCTTTTCTCTGAGTAAGAGCAGACAGGAAGCTGAGTTTTGTGACGATGTCGACTCTTTCCTTCATCAGAGCTCAGTGGTCAGAAGACGTGCGGGTTTGGGTTCCTCCTCTGAAGGCGGCAGCTGATCCACAGCGCTGCAGGAGAAACAGGAACGCAAGGTAAACATGGCTGTGTCAGAAAAACAAACATTAAAAGTACACAATGTAAAGTCGTGAAGACCAGTAAAAAAGTACCAATAGTAAAGTAAGAAACAGGTTTTATGTTTATATCGATGTGTAACTAAATGGAAAAGTTGTGACAGGCTGTCAACAACCACGTGTTTGTTTACGTTCAGTGTGAACCTACATTTCAGAATTGCATTTAATAAATATTTTGGAGCAAATTCTGTCTAACGGCACCATTTAATGTAGCTCAGGATGGACTTTTTTATATTTTAATTAAAATTTTGCAACGAATACCTTCTAACAACAGTTTTGTGCCGAGTCAACAGTTATTTAAAGATTCAATAAATGCAAAAAATATGTTTAGAAATATATATTTAGTAGGGAAAAAGAATATATAAAATAATACAAATAAATATGGATTTAATTTTATAAAGTTTATTAGATTTAATTGCAAATTAATACAAACATAAATATATTTGTATTAATTCTGTTTATTACCCTAATCAAGAAAAGAGAAATCAATCTGTAAACAGAATGATACAGTTTTAATTGTAAGTACATTTAGCAGAATAATAATTTTACAGAAGTGTTTTTAAGTTTAAAGTAGGAGTCATCTTACCTGGTGGGGATGGCGTTACGTGTGTGAGCAGGGTGGGGAGGGGTTGGGATGAGAGATGCTACACCCTCACCAGGGAGGAGAAGAGGGGCTGCTTTAGATGGGGGGTCTACGTCAAGCAGGCCGTTGGTAAAGATGCCAGGGGGCTGCAGAAGAAGAAACACAAGAGTCGGTTATTTTGTAGTCTTTAAACTTGCCGGAGCAAATATGGTGAAGTTATTCAGATGAGCAATGATGATTGAAATAAAAACTAAAGACAAACTCACAGCGTTTGAAGGGACGATCCAGCGGGGCGTGAGGAGAGGTTTGAGCTGCTGCACTGGAGGAAGCTTCAACATATCAAGATGATGTCACTTCCTCCGTACGCACCGGAGTTTTATTCACAGATCACCTCAAGTAATGAACCTGAAAACTCGCATCGCCATCCACTCCTTGTGTTTGTAAATACTATTAAAGCGGTTATTTACCGTCACTGTATTTTCTCCTGAGCAGGGAATTCTGGATTTTCATTTTTTCATTCATCAATTTGACCAAATCTCTAAGTTTGATGTTTTTAGAGGTCTCCTTCTGCAACAATGGGTTCTTTATTGTTTTTGCTGCTCTGTGCATCTTTAGCACAAAGCTTTGAGTTCAATGTGATGTTTTGGACTAAAGTAGCATATTTCATCATGTGAGCCGCCCTGTGCAGGTGGGCTCACAGTCAGTAATGCGTCTTTTATGACAGATGATTTAAGAAATCCATCCAAGAATATAAAGAGAGTTGACACTTACAAGAGGAGTTGGATCAGTGAAGTCAATCAGGTTGTCAGACGGTGGTGCAGTGTTCGACAGGTCAAACTCTTCTGCTTTAACCTGCAGCACAAGAAAACCCTTTTTTTTTTTTTTTTATCAGAACAAGCAATCATCAGAGCACCCAAATACATTCAGTCAATTTGATGAAAGTTAAAATCACAGAAAGTCTTAACGTTTTGTCCAGTTCCACTACATCACAGATTAAAGGCAACGTTAACGGCATTGAACTGTCAAAGTTTTGACTTCAGAGCAGAAAAACTGGTGAAATTATTACAACAACTATGTGGTTCAGAGCAAAAGGTCTTTGATCAGTGGCAGGAAGAGAATTCTTACAAACCAAAAGGATGAACTTAACGAGGACGTTTAAAAATCCAGAGTAACATTTTATTTGATTAATTGCAACAAAAAAAAAAAGAGCTGCATCATCCCCCTCAAGACACTTCAGTTAATTTAATATTTTGGCTACGTGACGTTTTAATCCTTTTGTTTGTTTTATTTTCAGGTAAGAAATAAATGTTGGATAAATAAATACCCTTTCATCGTCTCTATTTACTCAAATAAGTCACTCTGAGGACACGAGAAGATTTTTTAACAGGTCTTTACGTGCATGCGTAGACACAGATGTACAAAAGTTACATGCTTAGAGCCTCGTCAGTGAGAATCTTCACCGGGCAGTGAGGCAGGAAGTGTTTTATAATACACGCTTATTAGACGGAGCCGAGGTCGAGAACACCTCGACCTTCCAGCTTACAGATGAGACGGCCTTGGAGTTATCAGCGCTCCTCTCTGAGTAGACAAAATACTCTCTAACCTCACACACATTAATTTAACATGTTGGTGATAAACACCCATACCCTTTACTTAAATTCCCGTGACATGAATACTTGTACTCAGAGTGGCTAACTTGGGATCAGCTCATCCAGAACGCATGTTGTCCAGGTTTGACCGAAGCCAAAGATCTACACAGTAACATCTCAAAAATCTCATTTTTATATAACAAATCCCTGTTGTAGATACAATTATTTAATTGGGACCTGCTCTTTTAAAGTATTGGTTCATAAATGGTCACTTATGACTAAATGCACCCATAACTTAATTTATAAAACAATGAAACCAAATGTTAAATCAATCATTTAGCAAATATAATAATATAATTCTCCTGTCCCTCCCAGTGGAGACTTTATTTACAGTATTTTTCTACCTCTAAGTTGTGTTTTTTTTGCAGGATTTGCATACCCTGCAACTTATAGGCTGAAGCGACGCATTTGTGGATTTTCCCCCATATTTATAAACCAATTTTTGGCTGAGATATGACCGTTTTCATTCATTCTGACTGAAAATATTGAACACTACCATTTTCAGCCGCTAGATGGCACTCAAGTAGTATGGCATGCCGTTGTGTCATGTAATAGGTAAAAAGTGGCTATTAATGACAGGAAAGGTTAGACTGAGACACACCATTGCTATATTTTTGAGCAAACAAATAATTGTTTTAGGTGGTTATCTTTTTAAATTTTAAAGAAATACACCCCTCTGCGCGTTCCTGCAGACGTGAATCGGCTTTTGAAAATGCAACTGATTTGACCGTCAATGTGCATTTATTAAGGACAAGTTGAACTGAGACATACATTTGCTATAATTTCAAGCAAACAAATAATTGTTTTTAAGTGTTAATCTTGCTAAATTCTTGTTAAAATCCTCCCGTGCACGCTCCCGCGGCCGCCATTTGGCAGCCAATCAATGTTTGGCACAACACCGGCCCACATTTCCAGGTTGTCAGTGGTGACGCGTAATAGACGTGATGTATACGGCGAAGCCACGTATTTATGGATTTTTCAACTTTATTAGACTTATTTGGACTGATGCGACTTATAGGGCAGTGCGACGTGTACGGTGGAAAATATGGTAGGTTTAGGTTTTGTTCCAAAGAAAGTCCAGTAAACACACAACAGTGAGTAGTTCTTTTTAAATCATCATTTACAGTAATTACTGACGTTACCTTCGGAGCCGAGCCTTCAGCGGCAGCAGGACTCTTGGAAATAGAAGGGTTTGACTCCTCGGCTAATCTCTCAGCACTAAAGAACAGAAAAAGAGTAAGTGAATATAACTGTGTTATAATGAATTTCATGTCCCTAAACACAGAGATGAAGTTGTTAAAACATCAAATTCCATAAAACCCTGCCCACCTGACATAAAGCTATAACAGGAATACTTTATAATTGCCTGTTAGTTTCAGTGTCAACCAAATTTGATTTTTACCTGTAGATGGTCTGGTTGAGCGTTCATGTGTTTTATACCAGCTCTCTGCTGGCAGTATCCAGGCAGAAACAGAGTCATGTGACTCAACAACACACACACACACGAGCTTCTAACACACACACAGATGTTAGCAACGACTTCACAGAGGCAGCAACACGTCCCGTCTTCAGGTTGTGATGTTTTTCAGTGTCTTGAGTGATGCTGCTTAACTTGGTTGAGTTTGAAAATGTTAATTTTGAAAGAAAAGAGGAAAATCTGTGGGATATTTTACTCTCTCACGTCTTATTTGACCTCTTCACCATTTTCTGTCGGACGTGATTATTTCCTGCTAATAACTAAATAGTGAAAAGCTGACCTTCCTTTATGCTAATGCCATTTTAAGTAATGAAGAACAAGTTTTATGGTTACTGAATGACCCGTTTCAGGTTTTTAAGGTAAAATCTTATTTGGTTGAGACTGGTGACTCAAAAATTACGAGAAAATAGGTGATTTTTCTGTGGCAGTCAGAGACCTGGACGGCTGCAGCCAGGTTTTGAAAATCATTTATTTTTATTTTTATATGCACGGCTTGCAAAACTGTATCCAGGACATCAACCGTCTCAGCCCAGTGAGATACAAGTTTATTTATCTTCAAAGTTCATGCTCAATAATCCAGGTTAAAAAAAAGTTCATTCTGGACGGTTTCTTTTTTCCCTTTGAGATGTTTCATCCTTGATCCAAAGGACTTCATCAGTCCAAGAAACCACAACAAACTTTGGCTATGGCTGCCTCAGAGGAGTCGACGAGGGAGAGGGCAGGCCCCAGAAACCATCTTATCACCAGCAAACTGGTTGGTCTACTATGTGGGTTTGCTGCTTGTGGGACTCAAGTTCGTTGTGGGTCCTTGGTCTGATGAAGTCCTTTGGATGAAGGATGAAATGTCTCAACAACAACAACAACAAAAAAGAAACAATCCAGATGACCTGACTGAATTTTGTTGGATAGCTTACATATCCTACAACTTAAATTGACCCTGTTTAGATTTGTAATAAGGTACAGATTTAATTACAAAATGCACTATTTGATTATGAAAAACAGTTTTCATTAATTCATAACCAGATAAAAAAAAACAAAAAGGCATAAAAATTTGAAAAATATTTGTAGTTACATTCAAAGACTGCCTGCTCTGATCTTCTGTTCTTGGTACTTGTTCTCTTGGGAGTACAGTCAGTTATACCAGATAAAGAAATTACAGCACAAACTATAAAAATAATAATAATAATAATAATTAGACCTGGCTGCTGCAGACGAGACGAGCGAGGCCGGCTTCCCCAGCTCCCAGGCGTCTTGGGCGTCGGGACGGCTGCTAACAGAAAGAGACGAGTTACTGCCCATTCGGCCGGCACGAACCTTCAACCTGGCGAACGGATAACACGCCGTTACTGTCAGTCATGTCCTGTGATGTACACGGCAGCATTAAATATGCAGTCAGACAAAATATGGGATGAGAAGAAACTGATCTCTTATAGTAAAAAAAAACATCTTGTGTTTGTGTATGAAAACATTGATTTTAATCCATTTATAACATACAGTGAAAACATACTAATTTCTGGAAATAATCACAAATCAGAGCAACCGCAATATTATTTTAAAAAGTTATTTTCATGCTCATTTTCTCACCACTCAACGCATTTCTAAATAAGATTACAGGAAAATAAAATAAAAAAACTTAACTGCAAATATCACAACCTGACTAATCAAATCTTGCTTATTTTACAGGAACTTGCTGATTTGTGTGGAATTTTGTTATGAGGATGGTAGAAAGTGGCATAATACTGTGAGTTATGCTGAAAATCTTCGTGGATATGCAAAGATTTAATCAGGAGGGATCAGTTAAGAATGCGGTAAATGACTCGGGAAGGTAAAGAAAGAAGTGTTCCAGTTTCAAGGCAATAAATAAATAAAAAAAAACACAAGTCTCACTGGCTTTTCCACTAAAATGAAATCCTGAAAGTATGGCAACTTTTGCTCTTTGAAGAAACTGTGCTCCTACCTGACAGAAGATTCCTGCAAATTACAGTTTTTATCTCCGGCTTTTAGAAAGTGCTCCTCCAAATTCCCCTGCACAGAAAAACAGACAGTTGGACAGTTTGCATCGATAGGACATTAGTGATAAAACAATTGATCATATTTCAGGTAAGAATCACTAAGTGATAAAGTGACGTATCAACACTTCCTGTCCTTATTGTAGCATCTCCTCCTCACCTTCAGAGCAGCAGCCTCAGCTTGAGCTTTGAGGATGTTGCTCTTCAGATCGTCCGGGGTGCGCAGCGGAGTGACGACCGGACTGCTGCCGGTACTGTTCAGGCTGCATTTCTCTGTGAGTTTCACAACGTCGTCCTGTTGGGAGTGGGGTCAAAGACCAAAGTGCAAAAGTTCAAGTGTTAAAGAGTCGATGCGGAGAATGAAAGAAAAGTTTCGGCTTTAGCAGAAAGAGACCCTCGCCTGATTGTTCATGGCCATGTTTACGTTGATGTTTTTTGGAGTCGTGGGAAAAGGACCGCTCTCCAACTCCAGCTGCTTCAGACGAGCTGCGGCTTCTGAAGTGAAACAGATTTGAGCACTCACACCTAATTTTATCGTTATTGCTCAATATATGAACACAAAACTACATTCTAAAAACAATAATTTAATTTAATAAACAATATATTTGAGCGTTTAGGTCCCCAGTGACTTCATTTCTCATCTAGTTTGTAGTTCAGCTCAGAGGTTAATTGTGTGAATTAACTCTGTTGGGATCCATTTTTCTTCCGTAGGTTTTTCGGCGCGATTCTTGTCCTGCAGTTTTCAAACTATTTCAACAAATCATATATCAAAACGTTCAGCTCTTTCAGGACGGGTCTGCTGTGTCTTTTGGTATCTGCTCCTTTCACTTTTTGTTCTTGTTCAGCTTCTTTCAGCTTCCTTGTGCAAGTTTAAACTTTTTTTTCAGCCAATATCAGCTGTTTTTTTCCAGCCGTTTTGTGATCCTTTGATTCTTTCTAACTACAACATTTTTGTGCTTCTTCTAACTTCTTTCTGCTAATTTCAGCTTGTCATGCTCCTTTCAGCTTATTTCTGCAAGTTTCAGCTTTATTGCTATTTGCTAAACAGCACATAGCTGTTTTATGCAAATTTATGCATTTTAAGTCAATTCCATAATTGTTTCACTCTTTTCAACTTTTTCAGCTTAATTCAGCAAAAATGTGCTCTTTCTTTTTTAATTTCTGCTTCTTTCTGCCCTTTTAGCTGCTGTTCAGCCGATGTTTTTGTGTGTGCCAATTTCAGCTTTATTCAAATAATTTTTTTATTTTGTTGTGCTCATTTCCGTGTCTTTCTGCAAATGTTTGATTTGCTTTCTTCTGCTGATTTAAGCTTGTTTTACATTTTCAGCTACTTTTTAAAGCATTTTTTTTAGCTAATTTCAGCTGTTTTCAGATTAATTAAAGTTTTCTGTGGTGATTTCCGCTACTTTCAACCTAATTAATTTATTTCTGCTAATTTCAGCTTGTTATGCTCCTTTCAGCTTTTATCTGCTAGTTTCAGCGCTTTCTGCCATTTCAACTACTATTTAGCCGTTTTATGCTAATTTTAGTTTTTTAAACCAATTCAACATTTTTGGAGCTCATTTAAGCTCTTTCCACTTACTTCTGGTAGCTTAAGCTTCTTTTGTCTTTTCAGCTACTTTTCATCAATTTTTGCTAATGTCAGCTTTTTAGCTAATTTCCAATTTTGTGTGCTTCTTTCTTCTGCTAATTTACGCTTGTTCTTCCATTTCAGCTACATTTTAGCATGCTTTTTTTTTAAAGCTAATTTCAGCTGTTTTCTGCAAGTTTTCAGCAATAAGCATTCACACTGCATTTCCCTCAAATGCAATTTTTCTAGTTATATTTCAAATGTAGATTGCAAGAACGAGGTTTGTGGTGAAAATGAGTCACTCTTGTTATTGTCAGACTTTACAGAAAGAGATTCTAATAAACACTTTTGACACAATTTTAACATTTCTGGAGAACGGCAAAGTTTCCAAGAAAATAATCATTTTCTTTAACGGATGGTATGGTTGTTTAAAGCTCACCAGTGAGACTGACAGGATCTTCTGCAGCTACACTGGTAGCGGCGTATGAAGTGCACGGTCCGACCTCCTCTGCAGCCGTCACCGGAGGAACGACAGGAGTCCTGAGGACGTCATCGATGCACGTCTCCATGAGGCCGGCAACAACAGGCAGGCTGGAGGCACAAAAACAGGCAGCACAAAACAAAAAAAAAAACATAAAAGGAGAATACTTTAAAACTGCCACAAGATGGAGAATTTAACATAAAAATAGAAAATGAAGGCTGCATTACAGAACATTAATTAAAGTCTAAACAAAATTATTCAGATTTACGCAGCTTACCTCTCATCCATGTTCTCAGCAATGATGGTAAACTGGAAGTCATTTTACTAACATGCTTATGAAGAGGTTAAAGAGACCTCCAAAAAACAAAATACAAATACTAATAAAAGCAAACGAATATATTTAAGCTGTTTACAAACCATTTAAAGAACCCAAGTCACTTGGTTAACATGAACCTTTAAGGGAAGTAATAAAGTCTGTGGGTAAAGAAACAAAAAAAAAACACGAGGCAATGTTCTCGGTATTACAGATGCTCAAAGCAAAGATTTGATTCACAGATTTAGTCAAAAGCTTTTCCAGCAGCCTAAGAACCATTTCATATTTTTGTAGCCTGCAGATACGACTTATGAAGTTTGCTGTATATTACTGTATACTGCCTGGAGGGAACAGGAGTTAAAGGAAAACATGTTTAAATGTGTGCAAACATTCTTGTACACGTTCAGCAAGCCATGAGGATGGACAGAATGGCTGCCTCCAGTCAGTATGTCGAAAATAAACTTGCAAGTGGAAACTTTATCCCTGACCACTCAGGTCAGGGATAAAGCTGACGCTGTTGAGAATTTCAAATTAGTGTTAGGTTATAAAACAATATCTCAAGGTTTGAACACCTCACGGAGCCCTGCTCAATCCATCATCTGAATATGGCAACAATATGGCACCACTGCGCATGGTGGTCACCTAAACTGACAGAACCTCGAGGAGAACATTGATCCTAGGAGCAGCCAAAAAGCCCACAATAACTTTGAAGGAACTGTAGAGATCCACTGCTTCAACAGGACAACAGTTATTCACCCACAAATTTGGTCTTTTTGGAAGTGGCACGAAGAACTCTATTGTTAAAAAAAAAAAACACCAGATGAAGTCCTGTTTGCCACAAGCCATGTAGCGGTTAGGGATGCACAATATTGGATTTTTGGCCGATATCCGATACGTTCAGACTTATTTGGCCGATAATTGATACCAATAATTTTTTTCCCCCTAGACGTACTTGCAAAGATTACACAGCTTTCTCTGCTGTGGATTTAAAATACTACATTATTCTGCATGGTCTTTGTCAGTTTGGCCTGCTACTAAATGCAGATGCCAAAAACGGGGTTGAAAATGATGCAACACTTCAACTTGGATTACGTTTAATGTCAAATTTATTCATGACATTTACTCTCTAACACAATAACACTCGAACAGTGCAAATTTGTAAATTTTCACAAATCTAAACTCAACCTGTTCACAAGCGACAAGTGAAAAGTGCTAAGTATTAGTGCATTAATAGATATACTTGACAGTTTCTTAAATTAAAAAATAACTTAAAACAGAAGCCTTTTACATCAGTGAGTAATTTTCATGGAATGGCCGATGTCCGATATTGAACTTTATCGCTAATATCGGCCGATACCGATACCATGCTGATAATATCGTGCATCTCTAGTAGCAGACACAGCAAACACGCCATGTATGGGAGAAAAGCAACACCACTGACTGACTGAGGGTGAGCTACTTCGCAAAGAAGAATGGGTAAAAAATAAGTGCAAAGCTGGTATAACTGGCAGCCCGAGGGCCAAATCAGACCGACTGATGAACTCAGTTCGGTCTTCCAATGGGTTCATTTTGAAATAAAACTAGATTTTAAACCATAAAACAAATAAACTTACTTAATGACAACAACTGCTGGATATCCGGCCCCTGAGCTCTTGGCTTTTAGTGACAGTGGCCCCCGGAGCAATTTTGTTTAATAGCCCGGGTAGAGACATAACCCAAGATACTTGAAAGCTGGAACTGTAGCAAAATGTTGACTCAAGGGACTGAATACAAAAGTGTTGTCACATTTGTATATTTTTTATTTGTAAATATGTAGAACACCATGCACCAGTTCCAATCTATGGTACTTCACAATTTACCATTACTATGTGTTGATCGCTCATGTACAATATGAATTAAACACTTGGATGTTCGTGGTTGCAGTTTGAAGAAAAAGTAAAGTTTAAGGGGCATGAATACTTTTTCAAGGCACTTTAGAAAAGTACTGGTTTGTAGTGTTGTCTCCATTTATGTGGCTGGTATTTTTCCATCTCATTAGACAATAATTAGCTACGGTGTTGGATGATGGCACAAAAGACGACACAAAGATCTACTAAAGTCTGTTCCTTCCACAAAGAGATTTAAATCAAAGCCCACGAGATAAATCACATTTATAGGATTCTGTAAAACATATTTGTTTTAATTCCTTTTATTCTCTTGTGTAAAATTTAAAATGGTTTAGAAAGCTATAAATCATTTAGTGACAAGATCCTCTCATAAAACCGCTCAGATCAGAAGCTCCTACAGTTGTGCTAACAAATCTGAAAAAGCTACAACCAGACAAACAATTTGTATTTCATTTTGATTTTATGTTAGTTTACTGCGTTGTAACAGAAGCCAATTACTTCTGGTCTTACAGACTAAACGTGCAACATTGGACGCAGGGACAGACAGACCGACTTCAAGCAGAGGAAAAAACATACAACCTTCAACATTTCTAAAATACTTTTACGAATCACTGTGGATAATAAGCTCATGGTATTTGGAATATTTGGAACATAGTTCTGTGGCTTACGTTTGTTCACACTCTGAAACTTGCGTAGAGATGAGAAACCCTCTTATCCCTTTTAAAACAGTGGCACAATCATGAAATGTAAAATTAAATCAAATACATGACTGATCCTTCATATAAAAAAAAGAACTATTGGTCAAAACTCTGAACTGTTCTAAGGCAGGAAAAGTATTTTACTGATTACAGTATAAAAACAACAAAACTAAATTATTATTGTTAAAATGAAAAAAAAAAATTTGCTCAAAACGTTAAACTACAGTAATGTGCAAAGGTCTAGCCTCTTCCCTTATTTCTTTACAATGGCTTTTTGAAGGTCTTTCAAAGGCTTTTATTTTTGATCAATTGTTGCTTTTCTACTCATCTTCCGTTCAGTACCTGACTATTTTTTATAGAAATGTTTTTATTTGTTGAGCCACAACACCAATCTATAAGTTATTCAGCCATAAAAACTACTGCAACGGTTTATTATCTGGGTGTCCAAATACGTCTTCAGTTGATCCAAAATGCTGCTGCCAGAGTCTTAACTGGAGTTAGTGGGAGAGATCATATCTCTCCAGTTTTAGCTTCTCTCCACTGGCTCCCTGTCAAAATCAGAATAGAATTCAAAATCTTACTTCTAAACTACAAAGCCCTCAACCACCTAGCTCCATCTTATATTTGAGATCTTATTGTTCCATATTTTCCTAACAGAGCGCTTTGCTCTCAGATTGCAGGTTTACTTGCGGTTCCTAGTGTTTCCAAAAGCAGAACGGGAGGAAGATCTTTCAGTTGTCAGGCTCCTCTCTTGTGGAACCAACTTCCAGTTTCTGTCCGTGAGGCTGACACATTGTCCAGTTTTAAGACTGGGATTAAGACTGTACTTTTTGATAAATCTTAAATTAGGGTTGGTTTGTTATGCTGCCATAGGCTTAGACCACTGGAGGACAAATTGACCTCATTTCTTTAAATGAATTGTTAAAATTTAATAGTTTTCCTTTGATACTATTTCTATCTTAACTTGTCATTCTTGACCTGCCATTGTGTATCTGTTCTTTCTTCCTGTTCCTCTCAAATCCAGCTGGTCGAAGCAGATTGAAGCCGCTTGTCCTGAGCCTGGTTCTGCTAAAGGTTTCTTCCTCATGAGGGAGTTTTTCCTTTCCACTGTTGACTTTGTGCTTGCTCAAGATGAGAGTCTGTGATGAAGTTGAACTCAAAGCAGTCTCCTCAAATAAACAGTGTTAACTTAGTTTTTATGTATATGAATGTTTCTGTTAACTTATTTTTATATATTTGAATGTTTTTTTTGTTCAGCACCCTGAGATGACTTCTGTTGTGACTTGGTGCTAAATACACTGAACTGAACTGAATTACAAACGGCCCCTAAAACTCAAAGTATGAACTAGCGTTGGGCTGACATTTAACAGACCCTTTAACAATTAAACTATTTTAAACTGGACCTTTAAGTACTTTGTTACTAGCAGCCTGTTGCCATTTCTTTAGTCGAGTCAATAAAAGGCAAAAAAAACAAAAAGAACAGGTTGACCATAAAATCATGTTTTAGCACAAAATGATTCTCTGAGCTGAAAACCTGTCACACAGTACAGGATGCTTTGCTCAGCTGGATTTCTTCCTGTTTTTATCAAAGATAATGTGTCAGTTTTTTTGTTATTTTTAGGACTGATACTTGTTCACATACTGCACACAATATACTGCCATTGTCAGGCACCAGGACTGGACACAAAATGAGTAAAGAAGCAATCAAAGTCCAAAGAAAACATCTGAAGGAGCTTCAGAAAGGCTGGAGACCCACTGAGCAAGATCACAAGAAACCCTGACCCCTCTGGAAGCAAAGGTTAAGAGGTTCTTTCAAACTTGTGCACAGTACTGTATGTTCAGCATTAACTTGAAAAGTCCAGGGCTAAATGAAATTCCTTGCACGGATACCATCTTCCTGCAGTCCGCCAGTTTCATCACAAGGAGAGAGAAGAAGGTCAAAGAGTTTTGTTTAAAAAAGAGAAAGAAAGATTAGAAGTTATGAAAACTAAAAAGCAAAGACAGGAGGATTCATAGATCAAGAAAAAGAGATAAGCGATGGGACAGAGAGATGAAGAAAAGGAGGAAAGTTTGACTCAAGGCTTGAAGAAATGTCAATCAGTGCAAGATGTATCCTGATGCATGCTCAATAATCCAGTGCAAGATGTAGTTAGTTTCAACAGCTGAGGGATGCTTCAGATAAAGCACATGTACGTACAGCCACGTCAAGTAAGTTCCTTCACAAAAGGGTCAAAAACTGTCACTCCCATTTATCAGCAGGCTAACAAAATCAGAACAGACAGTGAGGGAGTTGTCACTTGGTCGGACGTGTTCAGATCCTTGGACTGAGCTTTGACGAGAGAGGAGCGGGTGGATGGATAGCTGAATGGATGGAAGGTGGAGACCTGAAGAAAACATGGTGAGGGAAACGGTGAAGGACAAAGGGAAGGGGACAAATGGGAGGCAAATATATATATATATAAAAAATGGGAGTAAACGTGTTAAAACTAAAAGCAATACTACAAACTAAGAGGAAGAAAAAGCCAATTGTTTAACATGGATGGAAAAAAAAATGGAGGAAAAAAGGATAATCATAAGCCAGAAAATAATAATTAGGCAGCAAAAAGTGGAAATGACGAACACTAAATAAGTTATGTGCAGAAATTTCTACTTTTGTGTAAACGTCAAGCAATCTCTTTTAGTATTTTTTTTTTTTTATGTATTTAGCTTAATCTGTCTTGGGCTGTAAGCATGTTTTTTTTTTTTTTTTTAGCTTTGGGCCTCAAACATAAATTTTAAAATAATAAGATCAGTAGTAACAACATAAAATAAACTAGGCAGCTAAAAGGTATTTAATACAACAGGAATCAGTTTGTCCAAATACATATTGAAATAAACAAAAAAATTAGATTAAAATCAAATGTGTTTTGTTGCATTTTCTGTATGGTTTATAAGAAAATGGATTTGTAGTTATTGTGTTATTACGTACGACAGAGTTTATGGCCACACTATATATATATATATATATATATATATTTTTTTTTTTTACAGGCGTCGTAAATTTTTTTTTTCCATGGCCACTTGTCCTGAGCCTGATTCTGCTAAAGGTTTTTTCCTCATGAGGGAGTTTTTCCTTTCTACTGTTGCCTTTACGCTTGCTCAAGACGAGAGTCTGCGATGAAGTTCAATTCAAAGCAATATGCTCCTCGGATAAAGTTATTAACTTATTTTTTATACATGAATGTTTTTGTTCAGTGCCCTGAGAAGACTTCTGCTGTGACTCGGCGCTATATAAATAAACTGAACTGAATTGAATTATCATCTTAGTGATATAGTTGACATGTGCTCATATATTTTATGAACAACAATTCCTTTCAGTCTGAGATATTGTGTCCTTTTTGTCATTTAGAAGAATTTTAGAGCTTTACAGAAGAAAGAGTGGACAGGATGCACATATAATTAGAAGTCTGAACAGAAAGACACCTACACTCTAGAAGACACTGAAGTCTTAAATTAGACAAGAAGCTGAAATCATTTCACATTTATGATTCATGCTATTAAAACCAAGATTCCCGCGCAGCACCCCAAATCATGACACTACTTCCTCCACCAATAAAGTTGGCATTTCATGCTGATCAAAACGTGGACAAACGGCACATCGCAGTGAGCTGCCGTCTGTCCACTGCAAGAGAATAGTTCTCCACAGCCAAATCACACAGCTCGCTGCAGCACAGCGATCGATTGGTTAAAGCGTTCAGCATTTGGTTGTACCTACCCAGCGGTCCAGACAATTTGTCCTCAGTACATGTTAATACTGGAACAAACAAAAAACATTGTAGGCTTAATGCAAAAGAATACATGTATGAATACGCTGATGTGGTGTGCATCAAAATGTCACGTCGATAAATCCTGAAATTATTGTCAGAGTAGAGAAAATAAGCTAGGAACGAGGGTGCTAGTAACATAAAAAGGAACATCAAAGTTCATGCTCAATAATCCAGGTAAAAACATCCAACAAAGTTTAGTTAGGTCCTCAGGACTGTTTCTTTTTTTTTTTTGTTGAGACGTTTCGTCTTTCATCCAAAGGACTTCCTCAGTCCGAAGAGCCACTACAACCTCAGTCCCACAAGCAGCACACTCACATAGTGGGCCAACCAGTTAGCTGGTGATAAGATGGTTTCTGGAGCCCACCCTTTCCTCTGTCGACTCCTCTGAGGCAGCCATAACCAAAGTGGTTCAAAACATCCAAGTTCATGTTCAATAATCCAGGTAAAAAAATAAATAAATAAATATTCAGTCGGGTCATCAGGACGGTTTCGTTTTTTTGTTGAGATATTTCATCCTTCATCCAAACAACTTAATCAGTCCGAGGAGCTACAACAAACTCAGTCCCATAGGTAGCACACTCACATAGTGGGTCAACCAGTTATCTGGTGATAAGATGGTTTCTGGGGCCCATCCTCTCCCCTGTCGACTCCTCGGAGGCAGCCATGGTCAAAGTAGTTCAAATCATCAAAGGCTATGGCTGCCTCAGAGGAGACGACAGGAGAGAGGACAGGCCCCAGAAACCATATTATCACCAGACAACTGGTTGGTCCACTATGGGACTGTGCTGCTTGTGGGACTGCGTTTGTTGTGGCTCCTCGGACTGATGAAGTCCTTTGGATGAAGGATGAAACGTCTATAAAAAAAAAATAAAAATAAAAAAAATAAAAAAAAAAGGAAACTGACCAGTTGACCTGACTTAACTTTGTTGGATTTGTTATCTGCATTACTGAACATGAACTTTGATGTTTTGAACCATTTTGGCTATGGCTGAATCAGAAGAGTCGATGGGGGAGAGAGTGGGCCCCAGAAACCATCGTATCACCATCAAACTGGTTGGCCTACTCATGAGTGTGATAAGGGACCGAGTTTGTTGTGGCTCCTCGGACTGATTAAGTCCTTTGGATGAAGGGCAAAACGTCTCAACAAGAAAAAAAAGAAAAATAAACCATCCAGTTGAATTAACTTTGATGGATAAAAAGAAGCATTGAGAAAGTGTGAACTAGATGTTTATGTCACAGCTAATAAAATCTGTCTCCACTCTTCACATTTCTCTGTAGCTTGAAAAACTGGAACTTGAAAGTTTGACAAGTAAAAAAAAATCTGGTACTTAAACATGAACAAAAACATGCATGTTTCTCTGCCTCTGTCATTCCCCGGTCGTCCTTTCCCTGATCACAACAAGACGGAGTTAGTGGATAAGCCTGTTAAGCCACTCGCACAGCATTAGTGCATGAAAAACACACCTAACTATCCACCCACTTCTGTCAGCGCCCAGCAGGTACTGGTCAGCTCCGTCCATTCTTTTCTAATCTGGGTTTGTTTTCCTTGTCATAACCAGTGAACAGTTATAAGATGTTGCTTGCGTAAAAAAAAAAGCAAAATACAAACATCAATTCCAAATGATGGTTTACAACTTGTTTTATATGCCTAAAACAACTAAAACTAAATTTGTTGACAAATTTACAACACCAACCTTCGTTTTTCTCCTCCTGGACTTCTGGGCAGAGCCTCGATTTCCATCGGTGCACAGGCTGAAGACACAACTGGACTGACCACAGGGACACCAGACCAGACCCCTTTACTTGAAGAAACCTGAAGCAAGATAAACAAAATTAATTTTACAAGCAAAAAAGTAAATAAAAAAGCAAAGTTAATAGACAATGATTATACAATTATAGATATGGACCAGAGTAAAAATAAAGAAGACACAGTGTGATCAATAAAAATTTAATGATGAACTATAATTCTTTACATAATTTAACTTATTGTGTTTTGTGAAAATCAACTAAAGCTATAAGTCTGCATGGGCAAAGTATTAACTTTGTCCAAGTTTAATCTTCCACCGTCCTAAAAATCTCACAATTCACAGTTTTGATCGTCACCTTGTTGTCTTTGTTGGAGCCGACCCCATTTCTTGAAGAACGGACCCTGAGAAAGGTGAAAAGGTCAGAGTTTCAAGGTTCAAGGTTCTTTAATGTCATTCGCATCACATGTGATACGTGAAATAGAACAAAATTGTGTACACAAGGTCCCCGTTTCACCCCCCCCACCACCAAAAAAATAGTAAAAGTACAATATAAAGTATAAAAAGAAACAGTATGGTGGTTCCCAACCATGGTCCTTGAGGAATGCCATCCTGCATGTTTTAGTTGTTTCTGTGCTCCAAAGCCCCCATTCATTCATATCCGGTGTGTCAAAGCAGGGAAACAACTAAAACATGCAGGATGGTGTTCCTCAAGGACCAGAGTTGGGAACCACTGCATAACGTGAAATAATACGGTGTATTAAACAGCAGCCTGAACACAAGTCTGTTGTGAGCAGATGGGTATGAATACAGCATCTTAAAGGCAAGAAATCGGCAGCATTTTAAAAATTCCAACTGAGTTCACTGTGTTCGATTAACTTTTAAAGTTCATCTATCTCAGAAAAAAAATTAATGTATGATTTATTTTATTTTTTTTATCAAGCCCTCCATAATAGAAATCTAGATTGCTTGTAACAGAGACTTGCATAAGGTTTGCAGCCTTCAACATCCTTTATATAAATAGATATAGATAATTTACAATGCTCTATGTCTGAAATAAAGTTAAAGCCCACAACTGGTCCTGGTCCACTTTGCACACAACACAACACAACACAGCAGCCATTAAAGATACAGTAAAATCAGGATATATCTGGAAAATTCAAGTCAAACAACAAAGAAGCAGCAAATTAAATTAGTAAAAAAAGATCATGAAACAACCATTTTATTTAGGAACTGGTGTACTTACTCTGGGGTGCTGAACTGCCCTGAAAAACACAAACAACATTTTGTGAGTGCTCCAAGTTTTCCATTTTTGTAAGTTAAACAATGCATAAACAAATACTATTATTTTTCCACTGATACCTGTTAGTAATTTTAGAATGATAAAATTGCTACTTTGACAATCAACTAATTCTACTATCACTGAGGTCCAAAGGAATTTACTTTTATTTACATTAAAAATCTGAAATGTTTACATGAAAATGTTTTCAGTCTTTTTATTTATTGATTGATAAAAGCCACTTCTGCAGGATTTATAACGACTCTTGTTTTAAGTTCATACAAGTATTTGCTTTTCTAAGAGATGAACTGTTGACCTACTCCCAGATAACCTGCTGAACTCAGGAGGGAAGTTTCTGAAGACTTCTCTGCGTTTTTAACTTCTCCAAATGTTTACTAGTCTCCTGTCTCTGCTGCCGAGAAGCACTCCGTGGGACGCTGAGACCACCTCATTGATGTTTCAGTACATGTAGTTTGCTGGAATCTGTGTTAACATTTTTGTCTAAAGAATTAAACGCGTTTCAATCAAGGATATTTATTATTTGAGCAAATTTCAAGAGGTACAGTATGTCATGTTCTCCTTTATAGGTATCAATACAGTGACCTTAGCCTCAACTTCAGAGGATTTTTGAAGCCTATCTCACAGACAAATGAAATGCCCTTGTTTTTTGTATTTTAATTTAAGTTTTAAAAGTGAAGTACAAAAACAAGGTCCCAGTTACAACCCAAAAATATAATATAAAGTATAAAAAGAAACTAAGTTATATGCTAAACCAGTGGTTCCCAACCATGGTCCTTGAGGAACACCATCCTGCATGTTTTAGTTAATTCCCTGCTCCAATACACCTGATTCAGTGACTTTATTACAGCCTCAAGTGCTAACATAGCCTGTTAAGCACACATTCATTCAAATCAGGTGTGTCAAAGCAGGGAAAAAACTAAAACATGCAGGATGGTGTTCCTCAAGGACCAGAGTTGGGAACCACCGCATAACGTGAAATAATACGGTGTATTAAACAGCAGCCTGAACATGAGTCTGTTGTGAGCAGATGGGCATGAATACAGCATTCAGGCTTTGAACAACTATACAATCAGTTAAAGAAAATTATTCTTATCTTGGAAAATTTGCTGTACTCCAGAAACGTTAAAATGGTGTAAAAAGCCTTTATTAGAATATTTTTGTGTAAAGTCTGAGAATAACAAGAGTGACTATGTTGGACATTTTCACCACAAACCTCTGACGTTTGAGGTCAATTTGTCCTCTAGTAGTCTAAGCTTAAGACAGCATGACAAGCCAACCCTAACTATAGGATTTATCAAAAAGAAAAGTCTTAAGCCTAATCTTAAAACTGGACAATGTGTCAGCCTCACGGACAGAATCTGCAAGTGGGTTCCACAAGAGAGGAGCCTGAACTGAAAGATCTTCCTCCCATTCTGCTTTTGGAAACTCTAGGGACCACGAGTAAACCTGCAGTCTGAGAGCAAAATGCTCTGTTAAGAAAATATGGAACAAAAAAATCTCAAATATAAGATGGAGCTAGGTGGTTGAGGGCTTTGTAGGTTAGAAGTAAGATTTGAATTCAATTCTGGACTTGACAGGGAGCCAATGGAGAGAAGCTAAAACTTGAGAGATATGATCTCTCCTACTAACTTCAGTTACGACTCTGGCAGCAACATTTTGGATCAACTGAAAACTTTTTTAAAAAGTATTTGAAGAAGTATTTCAGCCTAATTGGGCAAATGTGCTCTCTACTAATTTAAGCTTGTTCTACCCTTTCAGCTAGCTTTTTAAGCTAATTTCAGCTGTTTTCAGATAAATTCCAGTTTTTCATGGTAACTCTTGCTACTTTCAGCCTAATTAATATCTTCATGCTAATTTCATCTGCACCTTTCAAGTTTTTTCTAATAGTTTCAGCCTTTTCTCCAATTTCAGCTACTATTTAGCTGTTTTAATGCTAATTTTAGAATTTTCAACTAATTCCACCTTTTTTAAGCTAATTTCAGCTTTTTTCACTTCCTTCTAGTAGTTTAAGCTTCTTTCTGCCTTTTCAGCTACTTTTCACTAATTTCAGCCATTTTAGCTAATTTCCTAACTTTTGTACGCATTGCTGCTTAAACCTAATTCAGAAAAAAAAAAGTTCTTTATGCTTTCTTCTGTTAATTTAGTCTCGTACTTTTTGTCAGCTAAAATTCAGCACACTTTTATTGTTAAGTTAATTTCAGCCGTTTTCAGCAAGTTCTTCAGCAATAAACATTCACACTACATTTTTTGCAGGAAATGCAATTTCTCTAGTTTTTAATTACTGTTCTTTAATTGGTCAGTTGTAGAAATCCAAGCCTCTTCATAGTTCTGATAATGCCCCCAAGTTAGAGTAAATAAACAAAGTTAACTGAATTAGCCGAGCTGGGCTGTTGATATTTTTCCAAACGGGTTCATCAACTTATTAATAAGTTAAGCGCAAGGTTAAGATTGTATCAAACTTCCTCTCAGAAACAGACTTTAGATATGCGAGTATGTGGTTGTTGTCATCACCTCTGTTTGGCATGGTTCTTCTGGAGTAACGTCGACTTGGTCTCCTCTCAAAAGATGTTGACCGCCTCGCTTTGCTGGACTTAGTTGTTTGATACTCCGTCTTTCCGCTGGACATAAAAAAATTAATAAATCAGAAAACAGCAAACGGCTATTTTATTTTCACAGATCCCAATAAAAATAATGCCAATCAAACATATTCTGGATGATTTATGGCTATAATTCACATCCACAACAACACCCAGCACAGTAACGACCCCTGCTGAACTCTGGAACCATCCAAGCGATAACCTTCTAACAACAACAAAACCCTGCAACCTCTGTGTTAAATCAACGTCACCACTAATGCCTATTCAGCTAGATAATGTTTAAACACACAGTGGGGAATCAGTTGGCTACTGCATTATGTTGACACTGAGGGCTGGTGCAGAACAACTTCAAGTATCGATGTGCACTGATGTAGTACTTGTTGTGAATACAAAGAATGATGCAGAACTGTACTGTTGTAGTTTAGTTTACTTAAAACACATTGCACTGAAACAAACACCTGCATCAGGATATCTGAGGTGCTACTAGTTCCAAAAAGACCAAACCTGACAAATTCTTCAGTCAAACGGCTTTCTTCTTTCTAATAGGTGTCAATATGCAACACATTGGACGGTTCATTCTTTAACCTTTTTGAAAACAAGTAAAACATGTCAATGTACAAGTACAATGTTTGTACCTATATCTGAAACGTGATCCCATGCGTATGAATCCAGAGCGGGCAGAGTTCTTCTGGACTGGCCCTCTCAACCTAAAGAAAGCATGATGTTCTACTGCACACTTCCAGAGATGTTTACAGGCTTTGGGATGGTCCATCCTGAAAACAAAGGTGTGCTCCTGCTCTTTGCCCTGAGGAGAATTGGTAAGATTTTAGATTTAGATCATTCAGAAAAGAAAACATAGTCAGAGCTGTACTACTACAGCATTATATTTTGACTTTTCCAGTTTATGGCAAATTAAAGAGGGATGTTTATAACCTGAAATTGTAAATAGGAATAATTAAAATACTGAGGGAACTTTGTAAGTATAGCTGATTTCCTGGCTTTTACTGTGAAGATAATTAGCCGTACTACTAGGGCTGGGCGATGGACCAAAATTAATATCTCAATATTTTTAAGATAAATTGCGATATATGATATATATCTCGATATTTTTTTTTCTTTTCTGAGGGGTTGGGTTTGTATTCAGTGAGGGAGGAGGGGTCACGTACAGTTGGTGCAGATGGGAGAAAAAGAACTACACAGATTTTCCAGTACTCAATGGTTGTGATACAGCCATTTTAACCATCGTAAATTGAAAAAAAATTGCGATACATCAAGTATATTCGATACATCACCCAGCCCTACGCACTACTGCTGAAAATGTCTCATTCATCTTGGTACTAGTAGCTCAAATGAAAGCCAGAAGGCACCAGAGTCCATTACACAACTTGTGATGGAGCCAATCCAGCATCAAAGCAATCCTTTGCTTCTACCTTTTCATTTGGTGTCATGTTATCTTGATCTAATTCAAACACCAAAATCCATGAATTAAAAAAAAAAAACATCTGAAAATAATAAAAACGTACTCATGCACCTGTCAAATCAAGATGCTCTGAGAGAAAAGAAGGCTATATTTGTGTTCAAACATTCAAAGTTCTTATAACTTGACAAGTGCAACAAGTCAAACAAGTCGATTTTTCTGGCTGTGATGTAACAAACAGACAGTGATTATACTTAATGACACCTCTGAACTCCTATGAATATATCCAAAAGTATGACGATGAAGCAAAATAGTTTTTTCTCTGACCACACTCAAAAAGATTTGCTTCACTATTAAACAGAAGCATGAAACCCAACATTCAGTAGTCTACATTTTATGGTCCTGAAACCACATTATGAGTCAAAAATAAGATCAATCAAATATAATCTTTACTAATCCGCTACTCGTTACATCGGCTGTTTGATGCCCTCTTTAGATTCAAGTCCTTCAAAGAAATGTTCGAGGAATATTTGTCTTTTTCTACACACTGACGCAAAACTATTTATTCGCAAATACCAGTAAGCACAATGCTGAAACCCTAAAAAAACCCAAGGTATAAAACTGAACTTCAGTGCTGCTGCTTAGATTCTGTGTGATCTGGTGTGTGGGAGAACGGTGCATACCATGAATACCAGAGGGAACAGGACTCTTTTTTTTTTACCTCAAAGACCCCGGCAAGAACATAAACAGCTCAGTCCCTTACAGTATTAGTCTCAAATGAAATGCTCTTATTTTGAAAAAGGGAAAATAAATAAATAAATGCTGGAGTGTGTATTTTGTTAAAAAAAAAAAAAAAGGATTATATTCCTGAACGAGTTTTTTTTTTTTTTTACACCAACAGATTTTGACTATTAAGTAAACAAATATAACGCACAAATAGGCAAAGATACTGGGATGGTTGCAGTTATCATGTATGTTAAGCTTTGTAAATACAAACAAACAAAAATCAATCTTGTGAGCGTGCACAACTAGACAAAAAGCTGACAATACTTGCTGATACTACATGATACTAGCTGATAATACATTTGCCTACATTCGCCTTATAATCTAGCTGTTTTTTGTTACTTTTTTTTGCCATCTTATTTGTAAATAAATAAAAAGCTGTATGCCTTTTTGTGGCTGTTTATTGTTGTCCATTGTTTTCATCATTCTTTGTTGAAATCATGTCTCTCTTGTAAGCGAGTCCTCGAGGCTCAATGGGATTTACCTGTCTAAATAAAGGTTGAATGAATACTCTGTGCTGGGTATTTCTAAGACCCAGATAAAAGCAGGAACACAGTGTGATAAGAACAGTTATCATGTGCTGTCATTACTATAAACTTGGTTTACCGTTATCAAGACTACGATGACATTGTTTACGTTGCGCGTCCTGCGACAGTGTGTCATAAAGTGTTAGTGTGGGGGTGTTTGCTCACCTGATCATCATCTTCCTCCACCACAAGTGTCAACTTGCTCTTCCTGAAGTCCAGACGAGTAATCTTAGGCCTACAGCAGTGAAGAAGTAAAAAAAAATAGATGATTCAAAGAAACACAATCAGGGTGAGTCAATTTAAGAACAAATTGTTTACCAAAAGAAGAGTCCGATCTTTGTTTGGCCTTCAAACACCAGAACTCCAGTAGGTGTCAAACCCAGACTGTACTCATTACCATCTCTTGCCTGAAACAGAAACAAAAAAGATAAGAAATGACAGACTTGAAGCAATTGTGTTTCTTTTCACCTTTACTCATGTGGGGGTAATCATTATAGCACACGTGTCAGCTCAAGCTGTAGATGTGTCAAAACAAGCATGCTGACAAGAAAAGCGCCATTAGGAAGCCACTTGGCGTGTCACTATAGCTACACATCAAATACTCAAAATGCACTGCCCAGTTCAATTCACTTCTTGTTCTTCCAAAAACATTTCCAATTTAAAACAAGTTAAAGCCATTGGTAAGCACATGCTGGAACTAAAACCATTAAAAGCAGTATGATATTTACCTTCACCATGTGCATGTCCACCCCATACATTTCTAACCACTTGGCTTTGTTCAGGTAGTTAATCTCAGCTTGAGCTGGTGTCTGGCTTCTGAAAAAGGAAGAGTAAAAAAAGATGAGATATAAATAAATAAAAAAAAATCAACAAAATTACATGGATAATATCAAAGTGCATGTTCAATAATCCAGGTAAAAAAATAAAAAATAATCCAACAAATTCAGTCAGGTCCTCTGATCGTTTTTCTTTTGTTGTTGAAACGTTTAGTCCTTCATCAGTCAGAAGAGCCACAACAAACTCAGTCCCATAAGTGGCTTACTCACATAGTGGGCCAACCAGTTTGATGGTGATGAAATGGTTTTTGGAGTCATCCAATCCAACTTTGTTAGATTTTTTTTACCTGGATTATCGAGCGTACACTTTGATGCTTTGAACCACTTTGACTATGACTGACTCAGAGGAGTTGACGGGGGAGAGGGTGGACTCCTGAAACCATTTTATCACCATTAAACTGGTTGGCCCACTTTGTGAGTAAGTCACTTATGGACTGAGTTTACTGTGGCTCATCGGACTGATGAAGTCCTTTGGATGAAGGACGGAACTTTTCAACCCCACCAAAAAAAAAAAAGAAACCATCCAGAGGACCTGACTGAACCTTGTTGGATACATGGATGATATTTTTTTTATATATACTATTATTGTAGCATTAGTACAAAACACTAAAACACAACTTATAGACTGTAAACAGAATTGGATTTAGTCATGCAATGTTTAAGAACGCCTTTGTCTCCATGAGGTCACGTTAGGTGAGGTGCTCACCTGCACTCCTTCCACGCATTATATATCGCAAGCTCAATCTCCTCTGTCTGCTCAGGGATGAACCGAAATTCTGACACCAGGTCGAGGTTATGTTCAAGGGGGTCACAATCCCCTAATTCAGCTAGAATAGAAGAAAGACAAAGTATGAATCAAGTGGTTTTTTTATAATAAAGAACTATGGGTTGATTATATTTCAGGAGTTGTTTATAGAGATCTTAAATAAGTAGATTTTTGCCACAGTGCAGACACTGACGCTTATGTAAAAGGTCACAGATTGTATGCTGCTAAAATAGGGACACAAGAAAGTTGATTTTGCCTAAAAGAAAAATAAAACTATTCCAAATAATAGTGTGAGATTATTGTGACAAATACAAGAAAAAGAAAACGAGCTCTTGTGAGGAAACCCTTAGCCAGGATTATGTCCTGCAGTAATCTGAGGAACAGTTTGTCGAGTGCTATTTACTCATAGCTACTCCCAAAAGAGAAGACAAATTTAAACAGCCAGCCTCTTTGTGTAAGGTGTCAATTCTTCTGGACAACTGTCAAGTCAGCAGTCTTCCCCATGATTGTGTAGCTTACAGAACTAGACTGAGACCATTTAAAGGCCTTTGCAGGTGCTTTGAGTTAATTAGCTGATTACAGTGTGGCACCAGGTGTCTTCTACATTGAACCTTTTCACAATATTCTAATTTTCTGAGATACTGAATTTGGGGTTTTCATTAGTTGTCAGTTATAATCATCAACATTAAAATAAATAAACATTTGAAATATACTGTATCAGTCTGTGTGTAATGAATGAATACAGCGAACAACTTTCACCTTTTTTTTAACGGAATTACTGAAATAAACCAACTTTTTCACGAAATTCTAATTTTATGACCAGCACCTGTAAGTCGAAACATATTGTTATATTTATTTTTATAGCTGTGCATTTGAAGTCTAAATCTGATATCAAAAGGGAAATGATTTAATAGATTACTACAAAACAATACAGAAATAATATCTGCAAATAAGTAGCAAATGAGCGCAAAAGCAGAAAAGGACAGACAATAAAAATGTATTCACTTGCAAGAAAAAGTATTTTTAAGTATTTCAAATTGCTCATTTGCTTTTCGGCCAGCAAAACTGGAAGGATAAATTAAAAATATATTTGAAAAGGACTGCAGTCCCTAAGCAGGTAATGCAATAAAAGGAACATGAACTTGACTGCTATGATTAAAATTCAATACGGTGGAGTAAAAAGTTGAATTAATGAAATGTGTCACTGTTTTAAAACTTCTGGCCCTGACTGAAACTCTGGGGGTAAAAACAGGAGGATGGAGGGGAAAAGAATGACCGGAGAAAAGAGAAAACAGAGAGGGTGTTGGATTAGGGGGCCTCTGAAGAGGATTGAACACTAATGAGTTGGCACTTACCCCACACTGACTGTGTGTGTTAAGAGTGCACGCAATACCTTTCCATAAATGTCTCCAGTGACTCGGACGTTAGAAACGTCTCTGAAACTAATCAACTGACTCTTGCTGGTAGAGGCTCCCTTTAAAAAAAATACTAAAAATATTTCGTATGCGTTCCAAAGTTTGTTTTAATCCACCTATGACCCTCAGACCTTTTTACCTTGGAGCAGTTTTCTTGTTTACAAATGCATTTCTTAAAGCGGAAAATGTTTATCGTCTCTGATGCTGAAAATACAAGTTAAATAGAAATCAGCTACATTGACCCTTTAAATAAAACTACCGATTAATAGTAAATTTCATTATTCATTATAAGTATCGCTTTAATATATCTTCCTACTGTAGAAAAATGGGAAGAAGAAATACGTTTTATCAACCGACAAAAAACCTTTTTATCTTGTAGAGGATTTTTGTGCCTTAGTGCCCGTAGTGGTAACGCTAGCACAATGCTACTCTAAAACGATACTTTTCAAAGAAACACCAGAATTTAACAAGGTCAAACCCTCTTGTTGAATAGACAGAAGGATGAGCTGCAACAAACAGTTCTGTCTTCGTGGTTATTTCAGTGAAGCACCTTGTTGAGTTCACCAGGTACTGCCTGAGCTCGGGAGCTGCTAGTTTAGCATTAAGGAAGGGAGTTAACAGATCCCGACGGGCTTTGTTGTTATTTACGTTGTACTTTCAATTTGAAAAGATTACAATCGTGGGAGTACATCAGCTCTTAGATGCGAGTGTGTTTAAATCATCACTAATCATATGATGTAAATGCCTGTGTCCAAGACTGAATTAACCTACTATCACAAACATTTAAACTGGTCTTTAAAAAATATATGTATATTATATATGAATTGATTTATGTCCTCTTAAGTCAAACTGTGTATAGTGTATGGACATACAATGTGAATGGTCAATCGGACAACCTGAATATTAAAGTCCTGCTGTGCGTACCCTGTAACGAGAAGGCAGCCAACTGCACCGCTGTGTCGAATGGACATTCAAGCCTAAAATACAGAAAAGAAACAGTCAGCAACTGCAGAATCAATAATCTTAAACACTGACAATTCACCACCACATCTTCCTGTAAGTATCTAACCAAGTAAATGTTTTATTCTCCTGTTTTTGAAAGTAATAAATACATTATCATTCGTAAAAAAGAGAGGAGCTGCATAATCCTGAGGCTGCGGGTTCCAGCCCAGGTCTGACGTCATACAATAGCTAAATATTTTGTGCGAGATTGCTCGCTGAGGCGACCCCAGCAAAAAGGAAGCAGCCAAAAGAACAATGATCATAAAGAAAGACATGCATTAGTTCCTCGCTACTTCACGGTTCAACTGTTGCAGTTTTTCAAAGCCAATTGGACATGACACACAATTGGCTAATTGAAGGATGAGCCGCAAGATCAGCAGGGATTTTTTATTTTAAATAAATTATTTAGCACCTGCTGCGCCTCGGTGCAGCCCACATGTGCAGGGAGAAGCTCCCTCCTGCAGCATGTCATGATCTCCGCTCTGCAGTGGAGAAGTGGGCGTGGCCGAGACAGCTGGCAGAGAGAGCGGAGATCATGCTGTGCTCTTTTAGAGCGTTTAGAAACATTGTTTAGAATATTGCCTATTTGACACAAATACGTGATTCCTGCAGGTCTTAATTTAAAAATAAAAATAAAAATAAAAAACAATGCTTCAGCTTTAAAACTAGTGCAGCCATTTATTATGACAGCCAAACTTTTCATTGTAGTTTTACTTGTCTTTCCATGTGGCTGTTTTTTTTTTTAAAAGCAGACGAGACATCACTTCACTTCACAACTCTCTTCTGTGCCAAATAAAGTCGTCCAATTTTTGCTCTGCCATGCAGGTGGACACAAATTAAACTCACTAACCGATCTACAGCCAAAGAATTCACACCAGCGCACAGAGAATTTGCAATTGTTCTCTCTTAAAACAAACAAAAAAAAAGGTTTCCCCATGTGTAAAAAATTCAACTGAAGACAGTATTTTAGACGTCCTCGTCATAACTGGTCCATGTTAGGAAAACACCAAACATAGTTACCATCTTGTTAACAAAAATTATAAAGTTATGTAGCAGCACAGCAAATGTTTTTCTTCTAACTTATCGTCTTTTGTCTACTTTACCCTTAGCTCACCTTTAAACAATCAGACTGCATAACAACTAAGAATGTGTTAAACAAACATGCGAGCTCACTTGTTTGAGCTGCGACAGCCTCCACGAGCACCTTTTCTAAAAGAATTCAGGATTAAATCTGTCTTTCTTGCCCTTTCTTTATATTTCTGACTAAATGCAAGAAAATCACATACTTGCCACTGATGACGTCTTGCTTTAACTGCAAAACAAACAGATATCTGAAAGAAAAACAGGATCGTTAAGTTAGAGCGAATGATGGCTGCTCTAACTTTAAAGGATGTGATGAAGGCAGAAACAAAACACTTCTTTTTGGATTCATAGCTTAAAGTTTAAATATTGCTGACAACTCTTTTAGTATGAAGACATCTCATATAACGGGATGTACAACCTTCTTTCCAGTTAGTAATCCATCAGACATTTTAATAAGATTAAACTTTTCTTCTGCAGTAATATTTAATTAAAGGACACTTTTACCGTATTTTAGTTAATGAGTGCTGTGAAGCGCAGCTACGTTTAATAAAAATATAAGAAGATACATGAAAAAATCATATGGGTCTCACTTTAAAAGAGTTACAGCACGTCTGCTCATCATAACATAAGACGAACAGATTATTAAAATAAATCTGGAGCCAATTATTTTAGATTTTTGATTCGTTAGTGCCTCTCTGTGATGGACTTGCGTCCAGGGCATCTCCCACAGTGACAGCTGGATATGGGCACCAGTGACCCGAAAAAGAAGAAGCGGGTAAAGATAATGGATGGATTCATTAGTGCCCCAAGTTTTAAACAGCAGCTGTTTTATCTGTCACACTCACGTTGGAGTAAAAGTGCAAAATGTTTTATTTAAAACAGCTCGGAGCTGGATTACTTCAGTTTGATCTGCTGTGTCGAGATTTTTCAGACTTCTTTGTCTCACCTGGTGAGTTCCTCGTGCAGGTTGTTCGGTTCTGAAGAGTAAAACTTGACTCTCATATGAAGGCAGTACGGTGGGCCGACTAAAAGATAAACAAAAATATCATTTTAACCCCGACTACTGAACGGAACGGAACAGTTAAGCACCTTTTCTTTGGATATGGTCTGCAAATCACTTTCAAGATCAGATTCAAAATTAGTTAACGACAATAAATAAAAAAGGAGTTGCAGATAATTTAGTTTTTTACGATTGCTGATGAAATGAATTGAATAAACTGAAACTATATTCAGGAACAACAACAACAACAACAACAACAACAACAACAACAACAACAACAACAACAACAACAACAACAACTAAAAGTTTCTGGAGAAAATTTGACAGGGACTGCCACATTGCGGCCATTTTGAAATTCTGATTTGACATTACTGTGTTTTGGTTTGTTCTCAGCTACCACCACACCACATTTCAGCTCAATATGGCAAATAAATCGATGCGATATAGTATTTTTTTCTTATAAGAAACTTTAGAGGCCATTTTGGATTTTTGATTTGGATTCAATATGTAATGGGGAACATTCTCAGCCGTAACTTCACCAAATTTCAGCTCTATATGTGTAAAAACGGTTGAGTTAAAACAATTTAAAATTAGCTTTGGTGGCCATCCTGGATTTTTATTTGAATTCAGTATTTTTTGTGCATTGCTCTCAGCTATCAATACACCAAATTTCAGCTTAATATCTCTAAAAATGGCTGATTTATAGTTGGTTTCAATGAGAAAAATGGCAACTTTGTTTGCATGTTGTCACCATGGTAACTTGAAATGACAATAAAAGTAATAGCACACGTCACGGTGCAGAGCCGGTCATTTTTATATAAAAATTTGTGGGGGAACACATTGCGGTTCAGGCCGCATTAAAGTTGACAGAAGAGCAAGAGCCTTTTCAGGTGGATAATAACAGGTGGCTGCCTTCAGACAGTCCCCCAAAAAACTGTAACACTTACTTTTGACTTGCTTTTTGATGCTTTTTGTGACATCAAGCCAGTGCTGCAACAACAGAAGACAGGAGTGAAAAACAACAAATACTTCTGCTGGTCCCCCCCCCCCCCCACTAATACACTGGTGTCAAATCCATCCCTTTGTTATTTATTTAAGCACAATAAAACTTATTCTGTCTACAAGAAAATAGCAAAGCAGCAAACGGCAAAAGAAACGTTTAACTTGAAGGTTGAATTGATTCAACAAAAACTCAGATTACATTGCAAGTAAAAAAATAAAATAAAAATAAAGATGCAAAGACAGCACTTTCAAAGACAATTATCTTAAATCCACTTCAAAATCCACCGTGCATAATTTGAACAGGTGATCAATGAACATAATCAAAAAATGTGAAGACATTTTTAACGAGTAGACTGAGGTGCTGAAAGATTGACGGTTGAGAAGTGATCCTGCAAAACCATCACACATTTGCTTCAGGCAGTTTTTATCTCAAACTGGTAAAATGACCATCATATTTTCCGGCGTATAAGTTGCACCATTTTGCTTAATTTGCATACTCTGCGATTTACGTTTTTTTCCACTTTAGTAAACATATTTGGACAGATGTGACTTATACGGCGGTGCGACGTGTACGGCAGAAAATACGGTAAATAAAATGAATGTCCAATGTCTTTAATGTGATTCTTTTTTTTTTATCCAGTAAGTCTTTACTCACTCATCTGTTTACAAAAATAAAGTTCAACAGACTTTAACAAGCCACTGTGATCCTCGGTGAATAAAACAGCAGATAATTTAAAAAGTGTCTGTCCCGTGCGGTACATTCAGCCTCTACAAAGGCACAAACGACGTCAACGGGAGGACGCCACGGTTCTGTGAATCCATGTGTGAGCAGAGACCGAAAGAGACAGACAAAGATAACAGAGGAACTCGCAGCACTTTCTGGTTTCCTCTCCCCCACATTCCTTATTCCATCCCTCCCTCTCCCACACTCCCTCAGCTCAAATGAGCTCTCCACCCTTCTCCTGTGTCCATCCTTCCCTCCACCACTCCGTCAGTCGCTTCACAGTTTCTGTGAAGCAACAGGGTCACTGACTTGAAACAGTTTGTGTAACAGGACAGCGTGACACCATTTGTTGACAAATCTCCTTTAATGAATCTTTTAGAGCCGTTCACCGAAAGGGAAAGTCCACATATTATGCTTTGCTACAAAGGTGACGAACGATTTGGGCTAAAAGCAAAACTGCCACAGCTCTTACCGGAACTTGTGCCGAGTCCATAAATCGCAGCCCAAAGTAATCTTTCTCCACAATGTCCAGATGGTACATGATCTGCTCAAACAGTTCTTCACCTTTGGCTTTTTTCTGATGTGGGACAAACAACAAACAGGGCAAATGTCAGTATCTCGTTTACAAACTGTAAAACCTCATGTAAAAGAAGCAGAATATTAGCTAGAAGCTAAAACAAGCAGAACTGGATAAAGTTAACTAAGCAGGCCTTTAATGGCAGAACATGAACAGAACACAAAACAAAAGCAGCTTGATTTGAATGTTAAAATTAGCAAAACGGTAGCTCATTTTAATAAAAACAGAAGCTAAATCTACAATGATTTCTTAAAAAAAAGTTAGCTAAAAGCTAAAAGTAGCATGGGAAAACAAATATAGAGCAGGTTAACTAAAGCATATTTTAAAGTGACATTTTTTTTAAGGAACTGAGGGGTCTTGAAGATTTTATTTTAAATAAAATTAAATATTTTGAAAAGTATAAAAATTCCAACAAACAAAAGTCATAGCCCACTAATCATGACTGAGCTCAACTTTTGATATTCAAATGGCTAAAATAGCCCAGAATAACTAGATTTGATTACAAATAAATAAAAATTATAAACAGGAAAATACTAATGAACATTATATAAAGTTTAAAAAAAAGCAAACAGTATTACCACAAGAAACATCAAGAAAATGGCATTTAAACAAGCATTTAGTTACTTCTGAGACATATAACTTAAAATATAAAATTCTGTGAAAAATCCTCCAATCCTTCACCTTTACCCACTTCTTCCCTTTTATTTCACTTTAAAATATAGTCTGAGTAGACTTTTTTTTAATTTAGTAAAAGTGGATTATAAAGATATGAGAAAATGTTAACCTCACATTCCCAGAACCTGGATAGGTACTGGCCCCTCTCATGAGGCTGTACCAGTTACTGCCTGTGCTCTGCTTAGAACTGGGAAATCTCATTTTAAATGCTCTCTCTCACACACACACACACACGCACACACACACGCATAGGCACACATGCATGCGCTTGCGTTTCTATCCCTTTAAGACCGTGTATTGACTTCCATTCATTTTTGTAGTCTAACCCTGTCCCTTACCGTAAACCTAATCATCACCAATACACACCTAACTGGGGCCAAGATGGAGTACAGATGGGGCAGCTGACCTGGTACCACAAAGTCGCAGCTCTGTCATGGTGTCTCTGAGAAGACACGTAATCCCCAATTGCTCCGGGGACACTTACATAGCTGCCCATTGCTCACCTGGGTGTATCTCTTTGTGATTGGATACATGCAGAGGACTAATTTTGTCAATGGATGAGAACATACAATGACGACAATCTTAGACTTCCCTCCCCTACTCAACCTAGAATCAATTCACACTTCAGTCCTAAACCTAACCCCCAAATGACATTTCACTGTATTAGGATCAGGCTTTGGGCCCCAAAAGAACTACTGGTGCTGACAAGGTAGGTGTGTACAACAGAAAAGGTAACAAAAACAAGGTATGCACACAAAACATTGAGGGTTTTTTTTTTTCTTCTTTATCATTTGTGATTATTTTGTGAAGCAAAAACAATTGGAATTGAAAATAAAAGTAAAAACATTACGATATTCTTCAAATTTTGTAAATGTGACTTTAAATATAATTTATTGAAATTGGTGGTATAACTTATTGCACAAGTGTTTTTGGTGAAAAACAAAGAAAACCTAAGCTGAAACGCATCTTAAATTTAAACTGCAACACTTGAAGGAAAGCTTGAAAGGAAAGCTGTGCAGAGAGTGGTGAAGGCTGCACAGAACCCTCTTGGAGTCGGCCTCCCCACCATCACAGACATCTACACCTCCAGATACAAGATGGCCACCTGCATCATGAAGGACCCCACTCACCCAACACACATTTTTTGCCCCGCTCCCTTCAGTCAGGTGGTTGCGGAGCATTAAGTGTAGAACGACTAGACTGAGGAACAGCTTTTACCCTGAGGTTAGGGTGCGTACCTAACCAGGTTAATCACTGTAAGATTAAAAAAAAATCACTGTAATGCCACTTTAATTGGTAATATGAGACATATCCATGCTGCTGATTATCCATGCTGCTGATTATCTCATCCTGCTGTAGTCATTCATACCCATCTGCTCACCATAGACTCATGTTAGGGCTGCTGTTGTTACGCTGTACAAGTGTTTAGCATATATAATAGATCTTTTAGCATATTGTTTGGCCTCGTATGTCTTAGTGTATATCTTAGATCCTTATTTACTATTCTTTTTAGACTTTGTATTTTGCTATTTTGGGGTGTAACTGGGACCCTGTGTACATAATTTCGTTCCACCTCATGTACCACATGTGATGGAAACGACAAAGTTGACTTGAACTTGACTTGAAGAATCACAATACAGATTAAGCTGAAAAAACAAGTTGTAATGTAGCATTATTACTATAAATAAATGCCAACAATGCTAATAAGCTCTAAGCATTTGAACAGACAGGAATAAGGAAAAATTGAAGAAAAAAAAAAAAAGAGTAGGAATAAGTAAAGGACTGGATTCTTTCTCATCCCAGGAGATTTTCTGGCCAGCTCAGGGGGGAATGGCCCCATGCTAGCTGGCATAGTTAACAAAGCATACCGCACCCCTACGGTACCCATGGTGAGACAGTACAAAGGACTTATTGTGTGTATGTGTACTGCGCTCAAGGTCTTGTTAAAGTGCTTGCAGTATTGTCTGATTTCTGCCTGCGAGCCCACAGCTCCTTCTCTCAGAGTCAAGTATTTTATTGATGAGCTGTAATCCAAAGGTCCATTCTACCTACTAGTATAGCAGTGCATTCATTTGTAAACAGAACAAAGGCAAGAACAAGTCAACGTAGTACATACTAAGACAGAAGAAAATACTTTTCCTGGTAAAATCATAATTGACTCCACTCTTTAATTGTTTTCAAGCACAAAAACAAAGATTCATGTGCTTAACTTTGTGGGCTACAATTAAGAGAGAAGGTACCGGTAATTGGGGTTGTGAGGTGTGGGTGAGCAGAGTCGGGTGGGGTTTAATAAAATACAAGGAAGTAAACATCCTCAAATTAATGTGGATGGTAATGCCGTTTAGAACTGGATGTGGATGTTCACCAACAGAAGAAACCAACGGCAACAACTTTTGAGTGGCATTATCTCTCCGAGCGGACTGGTGGGATACAAGATGGTGAAAATGTTCTTCAAAAACCGAAAGAAGATATGCAAACTTTCCATCACAGTCTAAGTGAACTCATTGTTTGCGACCAAGTTAAATCAGCTGGCTGACAAAATTGCACTTCTGAGCGCAGTTCAATGATGGTATCACTGTTCCACAGGTATTACCAACAAGAGATAAACAAAGACATTACTTTGTGAATTTCAACAGCTATTTAGTAGAAAAACAGAGTGTATTAGGCACACAAGTAATGTTAGTCTAGTTTCCTTTAACCAGTAGTGCTAAATAAAAATACACATTTGTTTATTGGTACAAATTAATAAACAAAGATTTGTATGAAAAGTTAATACACACAAAGCCATTCCTCGATATGGAGGATTAAAATTGCACTTCTTCTTTGTGGTTCTCCCTCCAAAATTGTCTAACACAACTGGTTCACTGCGAAGCGATGTTTAGGTTTTTATTATGCATTTATTGCAAACTGTGAGGCATTAATTGATGTTCACATGTGTAAATCATTAAAGATTGAGATTTACCACAATTTATGTATATATGGTTTTAATTCAGACCCACAAAAATTACCTTCTATTCATCTATTTATTTCTTTTTGTTTAAGTGCAATGTAAGTTTATTGTAAAGTAAAGTTTTAAAAACAAACCCAGTTTCAGGTAACACAATCAGATTTAGTATAAAACCACTAAACTTCCTGCTTTTAAAAAGGAGGTACGTCTCCAAAGCTTATTTCAAACATGCACATCTATTAACTTTACAACATGCATTATAGGTTCTAGAATTGTGCCGCTCAAGGTGGCTGCATGTTGGAGCAGCTCTGTTACTTTCATTCTGAGATTTTGCTTTTGGAAACTTTAATTCCTCTTTTTCTGGATGTAAATCACATTTTTTTGGATGATTGTTTCCTCTGGTATCGGATGCTGTGCAGCTGGAAAGATTTTTTAGAACTTTTTTAGTTTTGGACATTTGTTATGATGCGTAACCATGGCAACAAGGCAGTTTCTACAACCAACAGCAGCTGATTAACATCTCAAAAGCTCAAGTAATATCTCAACTACAGCCCTAAATTTCAAATGAGTTGAAAAGGATGCTCTGTGGACGCATTTTCATCTACCTGCCAGCTGTGCTCGAGTGCCTGACCACTGAGATCCTGGAACTAGCAGGAAACACAGCTCATGACAGCGGAAGGACAGGATCGTCCATCAGCACCTACAGTTGGCTGTCCGCAGCGATGAGGAGCTCAACAAGCTGCTGGGAGGAGTGGCCATTGCCCTGGGAGGATTTCTGCCCAACATTCAGGTGATCCTGAAGCCAAGGAGGCCAACCAAGTGCAAGTAAACGGATCAACATCTGTGGCCAGTTTTTTCAGATCTGCTATAAGACGGACCATCACAAGAGATCCTTCCCGCCCACAACTATCAACATCTAGAACAACTCTTTTATGAAACAAGGAAAATGAGCTACAACAACATTTAATTTCCCTCTGGGATTAATAAAGTATTTTTGAATTGAATTGAATTATTCTTATCCAAATAAAGGTTTGAAACATTCCACTTCTAAAAGATCATGTGATTTTCCTGCCAGAACAATCAGGCATGACATTAGAAATGTCAGAAACATGTAGAACCATCAGGATCTGAGCAGCTTAGATATTTTTACAGACGAAACCTTGCAACATTAACTTACAATTAAAAGCAGCCACAAATACTTGGAGAATTTTACTTACAACACAGAAATGCAAGTAAACAAGTAAAATCCAAATGTTTATCACTGCTTTAATTGGATAAAAAAAGGAAAAGTTTACTGTTCAGCTATCAACTATGACCAGTATTTTTCTGGCGCTTACAGAAACAAGCTGTTCGACCAACTTATCCTTTATCTGCTTTGTCATGATGCGTTTGCTGATATAATTTCAACACTGAGGGCGACTGTCTTTACAGGACAGAACAATGTCGCAGCTGAGAGTGCACCGACACACAAACATGTCGAGAATGAGGTGGAGGTGCTGATACGAACAAAGAGAAATGTTTAGAAAACCCGTGATTCTGAAGGAGAGACCAGTGAGCAAGAACCGTGAGTGGGTCGCAACTTATTAATCAAAAGTCAGATCGTGTTTGGAATATGACGGATTATTTTAATGACTCACAATAAAAAATAAAATAAGAAGCATTTCATCCATCATTTCATTTCTCCTTAATCGCATATTTACATCCACGTCTGTGTATGAGTTTTGTAATTTACCCAAGTGTTGTGGGCAAATTAGGTCAAATGTAGGTGAAGCGGACACTAAAATTGTAAGAAACAAAATTTACAGTTCAGTTCAGTTTATTTATATCGCACCAAGTCACAACACGTCATCTCAGAGCACTGAACAGAAACATTCATATACATAAAAACTAAGTTAACATTAAATATCTGAGGAGCAGACTGCTTTGAGTTTAACTCCATCACAGAACTCGCATCTTGAGCAAACATGAAGGCGACAGTGGGAAGGAAAAACTCCCTCATGAGGAAGAAACCTTTAGCAGAACCAGGATCAGGACAAGTGGCCATCTGCTTCAAATGGCTGGGTTTGAGAGGAACAGATACACAATGGCAGGTCAAGAATCACGTTAAGATAAAAATAGTATCAAATGAAAAATGTTCAATTTTAAGAAATCCAGTTAATTTGTCCTCTAGTAGTTTAAGTCTACGGCAGCATAACGAGCTGACCCAAACTATAGGATTTATCAAAAAGGAAAGTCTTAATCCCAGTCTTAAAACTGGACAATGTGTCAGCCTCACAGACAGAAACTGCAAGTTGGTTCCACAAGAGAGGAGCCTGCAGTCTGAGCGCGAAGTGCTCTGCTAGGAAAATAAGGAACAATAACATCTAATATCAGATGGAGCTAGGTTGTTGAGGGCTTTGTAGTTTAGAAGTAAGATTTTGAGTTCAGTTCTGAATTTGACAGGGAGAAGCTAAAAACTGGAGAGATATGATCTCTCCTACCAACTCTCGTTAAGACTCTGGCAGCAGCATTTTGGACTGACTGAAGACTTTTTAAAGACGTATTTGGACACCCAGATAATAAACCCTTGCAATAGTCCAGTCTACACGTGACAAATGCATGAAACAGGTTTTCTGCATCATTTCTAGACAAGATGTTTCTAATTTCTGCAATATTTCACAGGTGACAAAAAGCAGTTCTGGTAATGTTTTTAATGTGGGGGATAAAAGACATGTCCTGATGAAAAATAACACCAAGGTTTTTAAGATTAGAACTGGAGGACAGATTAATGCCATCCAAGGAGGTGGAAGACTGAAATGTATCCCTACGATGCTCAGGTCCAAAAACCTCACAATAAAGGAGATGTTTGACACATTTTAATAGTCTGGTCTCAAATCATTGAATCTCAAACAACTAAAGCTTCAATTGTGCATTTATTAAACCAGTGCTGTATCGTAATATTTTCTTTAATTAAATCTACTTTTAATATTTGTTTTGAGCGTTTTAATGACAGACAGCTGGTGATTTAGCATTACTACAAACGATGACGCCTCAGTCACTCATCTCTTATCTGGAGATTTTTTTATATGACAAAACAACTATAGAGGGAAAACTACTCACGTCTCACTGTGAAATCAGGCAAAAGAAGTAAACCAAGAAAGAAGCGTGAACAAGAACACAGAGAGTCTTAGCTGATAATGTTCAACCAGAGCAAAGATTTAATAAGAATACAACTGCTGAAGATAACGACCTAACAGGTACTAACATAAGGAATGTATCAGCTTTATTTATGATTTGATTAAAACAAAAACGAGAAAATATGTTCTATGTTTTTGTGGCAAAAAAATAAATTACATATTTTTGCTCATATCTTCCCTGGAATTAGTCTGAAAAAAAAAAAAAAATCAAGTTTCATTCGAATTCAGGTCAAACGCAAAAGCTTTTATTTTAACTACAAAACAAAAATTGTGCTTTCTAAAGCTTTGAATGGAGAATAAAGTTGGGATTTATTTGTTTGTTAAGCCAAATAACTGATTTATGAATCAGTGAGGCAGTTTTTTTTTTATATATATTCCGCTTAAAAGGAATTTTTGTTTTAATCTATTGTTTGAGGGACTTTTTAAAAGTTTTTCTTTAAACTTTGTGCACTTTTTCACTTATATGCTGCTGTATCATAATTTTAATGTTAAGAAACATAAATTTGACTTATGAAGAATCAGTCAATCATTAAAAAAAAAAAAAACACCACAACTCAAGGGATGAACCACTGATCTGACACGTAGCAAAGACCCCGTTTTAATTAAGATATTTAGGCTTTGTTTTTTAATCACAAAGTCAATTTGTTGACATTTTTAGTTAAAGAAAATGCCAAAGATGACAGTTTAAATGTATTCAATGATAATTTGCATCAATAAAATTATTTACAAAATAGTAAGCCAAAAACATACAATAGATGGATCAAATAAATCATGATGTATATTTGGTACTGCTGATTTCCTGCATTTAATTAAGGTTTTTAGCAAATATGTCTGAACTAAACATAAGAAACTGTCCAAAATAAATATATTTTTAAGACTTTGAGCGATGAGTATGAGTATGCATCAGAACCACTTCAGTAGGTCCAAGAGTCCGGCTCTCTGGTGACAAAATATAAAGAAATGAGGTCCACAATTCTGGATCTCAGCTCAGTTGTGTAGTGAGTCACGTGAGGTACGTGTCACTTGTTGTATGACAAACATATGGATATATATTTATGCATACTTTTCACGAGTTCTTCATTTTTCTGACTGTGTAATGCCGTGCATTGAATTTAAAGGAATGCGAACGAGAGACGTTATTACCTTTGACCCATCAAATGAATGGAATCATTTATTTTCAGAATCAAAGTTTAACATCAAACATTTACATTAATTTGGCAAAATATGAAAATAATAACAGACAGTTTCACAGAAAATGAACTTCAAATCACTCGGCGGTGATTTGAGGACTTTGCTTCAGATATTTCTAAAATATCTGTACTGATTTTGTGAGAGAGAAGAGTTTAAGATGAAAGGAGATTATCTTACAGAGAACTATGTGAGGGAATTTAATCTGTTTGACCAGAAGTTGCACGCTCCGTCAGATCCTCAGCTTTGTCCACGGTACACTTTAGTCGAAGAAGAAGTCTTTACCTGGTTTGACGATAGATCAGCTCAGTAAGCATCCTTCAGACTGTTTCCAGCGCCTCCGTTAAGAACAGCTAAAATCCTCGGAGAGTCGTGCGTGGTTAGCTCAAAACAGAATTATAATCCCACACGTCTCTGGATTCTCGGCAACTCCAAAACTCTTCATAACTCTAGTTCTCTTCTGAACTCCTTCAGAACTTTTCCATTCTCCATGGAATCTTTTTCTGTCGGACTCTCACTCTTCCAAGAACTCTCACTCTCAATCTAACATGAACTGGGAAGTTGCCACATTTTATTTGGGTCGACTTCCTGTTCAATTTAGAGCTTTCTGATTCGTGGATGTACCAGAAAGAGGTGTGTTTTCGTGACGTAAGTTGTTATCAAAATCAAGGTCAGGGAATGAATCTGTTTTCACATACAGAAAAGATTATTGCAGAAACAGCAGACTTTTTGGAGCCTACTCTTGGTAATCTTCTGAAAAAGTTTAAACATGACATTTTTCTCGGTAAACATTTTAGTTGACCGAAAACCAACCTTTCACATACTTACGACTTGACTCATTTCAGACAGAAAATCAAGGAATGCTTATTCAGGTGATTTCTTCTCTGAATGAGGAATAAAAATCATTACTTACTGTTTATGTAAAATAAAAATGAGTAGTTCTTTTCAACCTGTAAGAATTGAGTGAAACTAACACAATTGATTATCAAAACATTTGTAAAACAGTAATGATTATAGAGGATTGTCTTTTCTGCTTGATTAATTCAAGAAAGAAAGTCATCAGATGGTTCAGACTTATTCAGATCAATGAAAATAACAGTCTCTGTCCATCTGGTAGATTTGAGGTCTTCAGGGTCAGACCTGGTTCACTACAGTTGCAACACTTTTTTTTTTTTTTTTAGTTTTTTCTCAAATAAATGAATTTACAGCGAGAAGTAACATAAAATGTTGAAAAAGAAAATACTAAAAAGTATGAGATGGAACAAAAATAAAAGAGAAGTGGACAGACTGGGATGAGTGATGAAGCGTCTGCTTGGTTGATGATGAGTACATGTCATGTGACTGCTCTGAGAGAGGATCACGGATTTACAGGTGATCAAGAGAACTGACACACCCCTCCAACACACGCAAACACTTCATAGGCTTAACAGGACACATGTACAAGCACAATGCTCATCAATACACCACTTACTTTGCCCAGTTTTAATTTAATGCAGAAAATGTTATGCAATCTAATTAACAGTAATTTGTTACAAAGTGTAACCGATTTACTCAGCATTTACCATCTTTGTTAAAGAACAACAAAGAAAAGAAGCATCCAACTGCACATGGCTTCAAGCGTCACAGCAGTTTTAAAACATGCCTAATGTTGCATGCTACTCAGGTAAACCTCAATATGTGGGTTGAAATTCTTACCGGCAGGTCAACGCTGACATCTGTCCCGTCCAGTAAGGAAACACGGCAGGTGATGATGGACTTTGCGTCCCCGGCAGCAGGGATGTGCGTCGTGGCCCGCTGAGCCTCTCGTAAACGGGCCTTCTCGGCATGTTTCCGGATGGAGTGGCGCCCCAGCGTCCTGCGCAGGAAACTGATCATGATGGGTGGGAGGGAGCAGCAATGGTGTCACACCTGCAAACAAAGAGAGCTGGTTATGATCGAATACCACAGCAACACTCACCCTGCAGGTACAGTGGTGGCTCGTGGCTGCTTCAGAGATATTCTTGTTTGGCTCAGAGGTGACAATTTTCTATGAGCAATCACTCCTGAGTTGTCACCATCATTGGACTGGATCAACTTGCTTGCAGCTGGATTAAGGCATTGACCAATAAAAACACACTTGAACAACAAGCAGAGTAGAGTTAAGTCACATATCATGTTAAATAAAGGACACAATTGCCAAACAGTCACCTCTTGCAGCTGTCTTTCTAAGACAGGAACCTATCCAAGTGTCATCTTTATAACAAATGCAAAAGTGAAACAGTGCACAAAGGAAAAAAAATAAAAATAAAAACACCTGGATTTTATGATTTTGACAGGTCAGAAAAGGGACATGTAAACCAGATTTTTACTCCATAACTTAACATTACCTTCCTCCACCCTAGTACATGGCAGATAACTTAAAGAGATTCTATATTGTTCTTAAGGTATCTTCTCTCAGAAGAAATGAGTTCAGTAGGACAGAGTTGCAGAGAGTCAGGGCTCACAAAATTATATTTGTGTCCATCTAAGCATCAGATAAACAAGTCAGAAGGTAAAAGAAAACAAAATAACATCATAGTGGGAAAAATTGTTATGTTTAGAGAAAAACATGCTCTATTAATGCAAGAGATACTTCTCCCATGTGTAAACTATGGTGGTGGTAGTATTATGCTTTGGGTTGCCAGGTTGGTTATTGGGGCAGAGGAGAGTTCAGTCAAATTGTTTTTGTTTTTCTTAGACTGATGAAGCTGGATGGAAGGTAAATGTTTCAGCACAAAAAAAAAAAAAACTGTCCAGATGCCCTGAATTCAGACCAAAGCATTTCAATTGAATGATTAAATATGAAAAAAGAATGGTATGTCTCCTTTTAAGATATCTTTAATTATATTTTGACATGGCAAAATACTTATTTGGGATATACTCTACTACATTCTGACTAATATAACTATATCTGTGAACATGTCACACCCGATGTTTAGTTGTGTTTTTAAACCTTTTTTTTTTCCTATGTGGTGTCTTTTGAATCTGGACTTGGAATAAGGAGTTAAACTACCTCAGTAAGGTATGTTTTGTGGCCCCATTCTCCTCCCCTTTGCATTGGATATGTAAAATAAACAAAAACTAGATTAACTCGTACTCAAATCTGTTTACAGATGGCTTTAAGAATGAGAGCATGGCGAAAACACAAAAGAGACCTCGATCTACTTCTACGTTATTCTGACAGTGAAGATGAGCTAACCGGTAGTTTAGACTTTGATGCTGGTATGGACTATTGGTCATCCTCCTCGGAGGAGGAGTCAAATGATGATGCTGAGGTGACCAGCAGCTTTGAAGATGACCTGAGACAATGGGCCTTAGAACACGCATTGACACACAGAGCACTTAATGGTTTATTGGCCATATTAAGAAAGCAAGGACACATATTGCCAGTGGATTGCCGTACACTACTTGCTACACCACAATGTAACACCACAGAGCCTAAATGTGGTGGGCAGTACATGTACTATAGTGGTGGGCAGTACATGTACTATGGTGGTGGGCAGTACATGTACTATGACCTCGAGAAGGGGATCTGTCGTTATTTAAGCCAGATAAAGAGCAACGATGTGCAGATTACTGTAAACATTGATGGTGTCCCACTTTTCAAAAGTAGCGGTGTCCAATTCTGGCCAATACTAGTGAGGTGTGGTAATTGGGATCCATTTGTTGTTGCTATGTTCAGTGGACAAAGTAAGCCAAGTCCACTTCAGGAATATCTGAAAGATTTTGTGACTGAGTACAAACATCTCAAAGCCAATGGTATCGTTTATAAAGGCCAGACTTACACTGTAAATATTAATGCTCTGATCTGTGACACGCCAGCAAGGGCGTATCTGAAATGTATTAAGGGTCATGCTTCCTATGAGAGCTGTGAAAGATGTTTAATAAGAGGTACTCGTGTTGAGGGAAGAATGGTTTTCAGTGAGAAGGAATGCGCTTCTAGAACAGATGACAGTTTTTCCAGAGTGGAGTACAGGAACCACCAAACTGATGTCAGCCCCTTCATTGATGCAGGAATTCCTTGTGTTAGCACATTTGTATTGGATTATATGCATATGGTCTGCTTGGGAGTAGTTAGACGCCTCTTATTGTACTTCACTCGTGGCCCAAAAATATGTCGCTTATCTGTGAGACAAAAGGATGACGTTTCTAAAAAACTAGTGGCCAAGTGAGTTTTCACGGCAGCCACGGGGCTTGCATGAAATGGATAGGTGGAAAGCCACTGAACTACGGCAGTTTTTGTTGGACACTGGACCTGTGGTTTTAAAACCCGTGTTATCCTTTCTGCCAATGAAACCTGCTCAACCTAATAATAAAAAAATCCTTTATTATTATTTATTTTTTTAATTTAAATTGATCTCAAGTAATATTCTAATTTTCTGAGATACTAAATTTAGGGTATTCAGTAGTTGTCAGTTATAATCATCAACTTTAAACTATTTGAAATATATCAGTCTGTGTGTAATGACTGAGTACAAGTTTCACTTTTTGAATGGAATTACTGAAATAAATCAACTTTATTCAAAATGTTATGACCAGCACACTTGAAAAAAAATTGCGTACGGTAATTGTGGTGAGGGGACTGTAATTTTATATAGCTTTTATTTCTCGTGTTGCTAGTTCAGCTATCCGAAAATGAAAATGAAGGCATGTTATTTTTTTTATTTTTTATGTTAAGTACAGACCAAAGCTATGTGAGCTGTGTATTTTTATAGATTTGTTTGTGTACATTGTGTTTTTGCCACCAGTTGATAAGCTCCCTGTTAATTCTAAAGTTGTTGTTTTTTTTAAGGTGCTGAAGGTGGACTTTTTTTTTTTGTTTAGTTTTTGCCACCAGTGTTATGCTACTGTTCTGTTAATCCTTTAAATTGTGTTAAATAAAGAAGATAAATTAAACATTTAAGGAGTGATTTGTAAACTCTAATCCAACTGTTTCTAGGACCATGTTTCCTGCTGCACAATGGGTGGTCAAATGAACTATTTCCCAGCTTCAGTCGCAGTTTTAAAGTACTTTTCATATACATAGCATAGAAGCAGCATTTTTTTAAGTGATTAAAATAAGTTGAATATAATAAGAGCCTATTTAAAATAATAAATATAGTTAGTTTATGTGGAGAAGACATCTATGTGTCATGTTAATATAGACGTCTTTTTCCGACGTCGAAATGACGTCTACCGGGCGTCTATATTTACATGTCGGCTAGACGTCGAAACTAGACGTCAAATCGACGTTGGAAAAAGACGTCTATATTTGTCACGTCCGTTAGACGTCGAACTAGACGTCAATCCGACGTCGAAAAAAAGACGTCTACATTAACACGTCGGTTGGACGTCGAACCAGAGGTCAATTCGACGTCTGAAAAAAAGACGTCTATATTTGTCACGTCGACTAGACGTCGAACTAGACGTCTTTTAGACGTCGGAAAAAGACGTCTTCTGGCGTCACAGTCTGCACCTTCGACGGACCCAATTTCGACGTGCAGAAACGACTTAAAAAAGACGTTGTTTAGACGTCTCCTTGCTCAGTGGGTTACTGTAGCAAATGTGAAATAATAAATAAAATAACTGTCTACAAATTAAATATTAGAATAAAACAAGTATAACATGAACTTAAGCTAACTGACCAAGCAAGGATGCGTTTAAAAAGGTGAACTTTATTGCTTGATAAAGGCTGGATCAAACTTTAAATGTTTAAAATTGGTGAGTTTATGCAAGAAAGCAAATCCCCCACGAACAGAAAACATGACCTACATTCTTCTAACTGCTAAATACCAACATTTTAAATGACTGAAAGAACAACTAATAAACAATTAGCGATCTTTAGCTAAGAGCTAAGGCAACCAACTTCAGTTATTAATATTTATTTAAGACTAAGGCACATTTAATGGTGGCTAATCATGAGAGCTAACTTAATCAAGCGTTAAAACAATACATCTCAGTGTTGTCTGTCACAATTTAAAAGCTAAATAATCTAAAACCTTCAACTAAACATATGTGCAGGTTTGTTTACTAATTTGCGGATTACGTTGAAACGAAAATAAAAAACAAAGGTTGTGCTTGCTTTTTCGAGCGACTACAATTTTCTCTTAAAATCGAAAACATACAAACAATTAATTTGAAGCCATCTCAAAATTAGGTCACAGCAACGATAAGAAACACCGATTTAATCCTAGCTTCACCTGTAACGGTAAGGGCCCGAAAGTACCTGAAGGAAGCTGGAGCAACAGGTGTGCGCTTGTTATACCGCTCGGGCTAACGGCTGCACACAAAGTCAAAGAAACGGGAAGAACGCCGCCCGCGCGAAGGCTTTCACTACATCAAAACTAACGCATCGTTCATCTCTAAGCGATGACACACACAGTTGGGATACTTACAAAACCTCCTTTAGTAAATTCACGGTGAAAGCACGTCCGCTTGCATTTTACACGACCAAACAGGACCCTTGAACACTTCCAGATTCCGTAACTTGCTTTTTCCTTCTTGTTTTTCAGTTTTATCCCCACCGCTCGACCTCCGCAGGATATATTTTCTTCTAACAAAAAGTAGGAGTCGAGCTCTTCGCCGGAAGTGACGTCAGAACAAATCCCTACAAAAACTTGATTAGCATTTTTAAAGCGACAGCAGTCCCGTGATTTTTTTTGCACATATACGGACAGGATTATTTACATTTACTAGAGTTAAAGGCTTTTAAAAACCACGTGAAAACGTCCTGCATGCTCAATAATACAGGCATAAAAATCCAACAAGGTCAGGTCCTCTGATTTAACCTTGTTACAGTGAAAACATTTGACTTATTTGATCACCTCACCTCCGTTTGACAACAGCACCCCCTTCTGGTTAATTACAGGTATGACGTTTTATACATTTCGGACCATTAATAACTGTAAGGCATTTTTACACTCTCCTAACAAAAAAATAGTAAAGTGCTACAAAAGCTACTTTGAGTTTATTTAAGTTTTTATACAATATTAACTACTTTGTGTTGCATTATAGTGTGTAGATTTTATTATCAACTGCCACACAAAGCAATGTTTTGGTCCATGTCTGTAACATTAGCTAAATATTTAATGAACTAGTGGACTGATTTTAATAAAACTATCCAAGTAATCCCTGGAGTAATCCCCATTAAAGATGGTTGCCACAGCTAAACAAACCCTTAAAATTATTATTGTTTTTCTTTTACATTTTATACTTTTGTTGGATGTATGGGACCCTGCACAATTTCGTTCCACCGCATGTGGTGCATATGACAAATAAAGAACCTTGAACCCTTGAAATGACTACAACTCTCTACAACAATTTTACACATGCAGAGCTCGTATTTGGTGTGGTAGCCAACACATCTTGCATGATTTGATGCACATTATTTATGCAGCCATTCAAATAAAACTTTATATATATATATAAAGTATTTTACCAGTTTTCTTCAATGGTTCATTCTAATAGAGGTCTTCAGTAGTGGTGCTTTCTTTCCTATCTGTTGTATCTAAAGTTGTCCAACCTCACTTTTACAGTGTGGAAAAGCAGGGTGATCTGAAGCCACATCTCCATGCTTTGACAGACAAGCTTTAATTGTTCAGAGTCAAGCTTATAGACATGTCCAAAGCACTGTAAAACCAGAAAGAAACGTGCAACTGAGGACACAGGTTGAGACACAAGTAAGAGGTAACCGATACGGTAAAACACTTTTTTTTATCATTCTGTGGTTCATTATATACACACTCGCTATTATAGATTCAAATTAAACAAAACAAAAAAAAGTATTAAAGGAGCAGTTCGGAACTACACAGCATTTAAATCATCCAAAGGGAAAATAAAAATAAAAACATCTTTCTGCTCACAAATGATTTTCCCTTTTATTTTAAAGATTTTTTTTCATATACAACATTATATTTACACGGTCTAGTAATATTTACACAAAATGAACAAGTGGCACTGTGTAATTAGGAGTTCTTTTCTTTGTTCTTTACATGTGTCTCATTTTCAAACACAAAACGATAAATAAAAAAAAAATAAAAAAAACTCATTTTAACAAACGCATTACGTCTCTAAACTTGTTTTTCTCCCTCTCTCCCAGTAGCACTACCTGCTACTCAGCCTTCTACAAAGTGCTGTCCTTTCCCTACCTGATAAAAATGGATTTTTACAAAAATACAGCTAACCTCAGCCCTCCACCCCCGATCAGTACTCTTAACCGTCCAAACGGTACCAACTCTGTGCAGACGGCGACTAAAGCAGCCCTGAATGATGAGGAACTTTTCACTGCAGGGTTCAGGTTTTAAAGTTTGAAATATCAAGTTTTTTACAGCTTGACAATTTTAAATTGCGCAGGGGGGGCACAGTTGAAAGCCAAAAGCTCAGTAAGTTTGTTTTATGGTTTAAAATCTAGTTTTAATCAAATCTGAACCCACTGGTTAGCTGAACTGAGCTCACTCGTGGGCCTGATTTGGCCCCCGGGCCACCAGTTGAACAGCCCTGGCTTACTGTTGCCACTTTTAAGATTTTCAGCAATTTAATTCCAAAGCTACACCAAATTGAAACACAAAAGCGGATTTACATTTTGCGATTAAAGGTCTGCACAGCGTCTGTAACTTGAACCTGCCAACATAAAGTTAAAACTTGTTAGTAACTAGTTTTAAAACAAGCTGCGCTCCTGTACCCATGATGCTCTGCTCCGACGTATCATGCAGGGAGTCTAAAACGAGAGGCGTAATTGACCGTGGAAGCTGTGCAGAGGTAACTGAACGACTTTTGGCTGATTTAATAAAAGAAAGATTGAGAAAGTTTTAAAGGACTGGAAGAGGAAGACCGCTCTGAGGCTCTTCTCCAATCCCACCTCCACACGTGGCAAAATTACGACGCAGCCGTTTGAAAAGCAACAGGTCTGAGCACAGCGTGGAAAAACTATTCAACAGGGGTCTTTCTGTGTCACAAACGTTCACAGACGGGAAGTTTTTATACCAAATAACTAACAGGGTGCATGCCAGAAATGTCAGAGGCAGGAAACTGGAGGTACAGAAGGAGACGGCGTCTAAACAAACCCGCACGCACGCCGCCTCGCTCGAGGGGTTTCCAGAACCCACTGCTGGAGCCAATCACAGCAGGTCCTGAAGCAGTTGATACGCAAACAAAGTTCAATCTAAAAAGAAGCCGTGCTAAAGGTAGCACCTGACTGGGATGCAAGTACCGCATTTTTTTGGACTATAAGGCGCACTTAAAATCCTTTAATCTCAAAAATCAACAGTGAGCCTTATAATCAGGTGCGTCTTATGCATTAATTCTGGTTGTGCTTACTGACCTCGAACCGATTTGATCTCAAAATCTGTCAAAATGTTTTAGTTTCGCTTAATGCGCCCTATAATCCGGTGCGCCTTATAGTCTGAAAAATACGGTAGTTTGTGAACAGCGATCGTTCCAGGATGCCTGGGAACGTTCGTTGAGGTTCTCGATTTCCTCGGGTGAGCTGCTGAGGCTACGTCTCAAAGGAATTTCCTCTCAAGATAGTCACAGTTGTCTCGGGGCATCTCAAACCCATTTCTAAAATAAACTGTATTTTATGTGAGCCGAGGTGGACGACGTAATGCATACTAGGTATAATTTTCAAAAATTGGCTACGCAAAAACACGTTAAGACTGCAGCATGAACTTTGCGTATTTTTTTTTCACAATTTTAACAAGTCGCAGCCCAGTGATACTACCTTCAATGTACCAAACGTTCCTGCCACTAATAAAATCTGTATTAAAAAAACAAACAAACTCAAGCAACCTGACCTTTTAGTCTCTTAATCACTCACAAATCATCTTGATTTAAACAGAAGTCTCTTAAAGTCACACTGGAGAAGATCAGTTTAAAAAAAAAATAAAGGTTACACGTTTTGCTTGTGCTGCCTCTTTCAATTGCCAAGTGTTTTCTAGCAAACAAATCAAAGCAAGCAGCTAAATTTAGCTGTAAAAGTTTGTTTTTACCCCACTGGAAATTCAGTTCAGATGGTATTTCAATCACAAATCTAAGCAACAGAGGTTACAAAACCTGCGGAGCTTTTAAAGTTCATTCACGAGGTTGAGATTAGTTCATTGTGACGATTTGTTAAAGGTACTCGTTGCAAACTAGAAGTTTAATCATAATAATAAAAAAAGTTTACTCTGAACTATATCAAAGGGTGCAGTTTAAAAGAGTTTACTGCAGTAGCTTTAGAGATAAATTAAGGTGGAATTCTGAAATGTGGGTATGCACTCAAAGTAAACACTTGATGAATTCACCAAAAGCATCATGGGAGTTTGAGTCACAGGACAGACCTACATTAGGCTAGACCAGAGGTGGGCAACAGTTTTTCCCAAAGGGCCACATCAATGTTTAAAGCAACCAAAGGACCGCAGAGAGAATTTAAAAATACATTTTCTTTATGACAGATAATCTAAAGACCTTTTTTCAGTTTTTTTCTTATTGTAGCAAAGTTAGCATGCTTTATAAAATGCGTCTTTACAACATCCTTTAGGAATATACGACACGTTCTGTAAACCGGCTTTTGTGATATTATATTATGTACGTTAGCTTAACATGTTATAGGCTACGTGTTAACGGAAATATGCGAAGCAAATTTATATATTTGTGTTTCTCAGTCTTTAGGGTTCAGTCTAGTTTTGGAAACAATGCCTTAAAAATTATTTTTGTTAAAGTTTAATAATAATAATGTGTTATCATTGTATGTTCACTTACAATGGTGAAATTGACTCTCTACATTTAACCCGGGTGGTGCAGTGGGCAGCTATTGAGGGCGCCTGGGGAGAATTTGGGGATAGGGTGTGCTGCTCAGAGACACCACGAGATGTGCAGTGACTGGAGTATGAACTTGGGACTTTTTGGTCCCGGGTCGGCTGCCCTGCCTCTGCACCACCTCGGCCCCCCAAGATGTGCAAGATGTTAACATTTCTTTAAGTCTCATTAATAAATTGCTGTTTTTTTAATCAATCTTTATTTTAAAAGTTCTGTTTTTTTTGTTTTTTTTAAACTAAGGATACTGGGGGCCTGACGAGGATTGTCGAAGGGCCACTTTTGGCCCTCGGGCCTTACGTTGCCCACGTCTGTGCTAGACTGTGTATGAAAACTAATACGGTAAAATCAGACTACCGGTAGTTTAGAATTTCTGAGATGTTTGGGGGAAAATATAAGCGCAACAGCTCCTAAACGTGGAAAAAAAAAAGTAACGCAACAACTGTCAAATTCTATCACACTCATACTGTACTCAAATCTGAGCATTAAAACGTAAAATACATCAAATTGTACGCATCATATAACCTATATTCAGTCACTACAACTGTTTCTGTAGGGAAAACAAGTGGTAGTTGACGTCCGTTAACAAATTTTGCTTACAAATTTTGAACTAAACATAACGTTCCCCATCAAGAGAAGAAAAAAAGTTTCCAATCTTCGTGACGTTGCAGCGAGTACCTTTAAAACGTGGAAGGAAAAACACCGAATGCATAAAACTGACACTTTCCTTCTGTCGTAATGACTCGTGTAAAAAATAAATAAAAGGAAGAAGTATTTGGGTTGCAAAAATAAACTCTGACAAAAGACAGAGACTGGGTTTTGCTGTTGGTGTCTGGCTCAAGGACACTTCAGCAGGAAGTTTGCTCCACTAACATTGAACTCAGAGAATTAAAACGGAAACTGATCTCTATTGGAGCCACCGTTTTGTTTATCAGTTTAAGTGCGTCAATGGCTGAAATATGTTGGGACTTTCTGTAAAAAATAGAATAGAGGTCTCTAGTAAACGGTGGCTGTGAGGAGAGCAAACCAATTCATCTGATCATCACTCCAAAATCTACGTCTTTAAGCTTTAAAAAAAATAAAAAACTTCACAACGCATGAAAAAGTAGCCAACTTTCCACGGCACTGAACGAGAGGTGAGGGTCCTGGTGCTGGTCAGAAGCCTAGAAGAGAAAGTGGCGACGGACCAAACCAGGTACAATAAATTAAATCTTTTTTTTTTTTTAATCCTCGCAAAAACAAAAAGAAACAAAGTAGAGGAGGAGTAACACTGTTTTACTACCTAATCAGGAAAGCATGAATGTCTAGACTCATACAAACAAACAAAACAGCTTTTTTTTTTTCCTTTTTTGTTCAGTGGACAGGGTGACACTAAATAAAACACAATAAATACTCTCTTGAGAAACAGATTTTTCTCTTCATCAGCTAAAAGGACACTAAAAAAAGGCAGGTCCGTCTGGCAGACTCTCAGAAGGGGACAGGGCGACCCTTTAGGTAAAAAACAAAATAGAAGGGGAAGCTTTCCATCCACATGGGCAGCCCCTCCCCTTCGTATGTATGGCACTAAAGCGAATCCCCGTTTTATTCTATCGTACTGGTTTTGTCGTTACCCTGATCGTACAACACTCCTAATGGTACCTATTACACAGCTGGATTTCTGTTTTTTTGTTTGTTTTTTACTTGATCTCGTTCATAATTTTCACGTTTGCTTGTCCATTTTTCCAGTTTTGTCAGCGTAAAGTGCAACAGTGCTTTCGTTTTCTCCTCCAGCACCCGGGCCTCTTTCTGGAAACCCCCGGCGACGGGTCAGACGTCAGCAGGAGCCGTTTCAGGATCAGGATCAGGGTCAGGGTCAGGGTCTGGGTCAGTGTTTGCACTGGGCTCACTTGTCACACTGGTGGCGCTCGCGACGCTAGGCTCCTCCTCCTCTTCCTCTGTCACTTCTCCAACATCCAGCACCTCCACCTCCTCGTCGTCGTCGTCATCCTCTTCGTCCAGGCCTCCCTGCAGGAGCTCCACCGCAGCCACTTCCTCTTCCTCCGCCGCCGCAACCGTCTCGTCTCCATCTTCTCCCGTTTTCAGCTGCTCTTTCTTCTCCTCGTCTTTCTCGTCACTCAGCTTCTCTCGTTGCTGGTAGAAGACCATTTTGGGTGGTTTGAACAGACCTTTCTCGTACACTTTCAAGATGGCCTCACACACGAAGCGGTACTGGCTCTAAAGGAGTAAAAAAATATATAAAAATGGAATCGTGCTGGTGTGACTCTGCTGAAAACAGCAGCACTGATGACTGAACGAGTACTCACAGGTGTTTGTATCATCATGGCTCTCTGATCTCTCATGGTCTTGACAATATCTAGAGGATACACTGGCTGACCGCTCTCCATTAGACACAATGCCGTCTCCATGGTGATCAGGACCCCCGTTCGACCGATGCCAGCGCTGGGAGAGAAAACCGGCATAGAAAGAAAATGTATCCTTAGATACAATTGAGGTGCAACATACGGTCACGTATGCTTTTTTGTAGCAAGTCGTCTTGGTAAATATGACAGATTATTTTTTTACATCATACGAGTTTAACTGATAAATCTGAAGCTTGTAGGACCAAAGAAGCAACACGAAGTTTAAGATGGAGTCAAATTTACTATTTCAGCTGCTTTCTGTTTTATGTTAATTTTAGCCTTTTCAGCTAATTCCACATTTGTTACACTCATTTAAACTTTTTTCAGCCTAATTCAGCAAAAAATGCGCCCTCTCTACTTTCTTCTGGTGAGTTTAGCTTCTTTCCACCTTTTTAGCTACTATTCAGCTGTTTGTTTGTTTTTTCAAATTTCTGCTTCTTTCAGATAATTTCCACTTCTTGTGATCATTTCTGCTTCTTTAAGTGTAACTGGGCACAGTTGTGCTCTCTCCACTTTCTTCTGGTAATTTGAGATTCTTTCTGCATTTTTCAGCTTTTTTTATTTTATTTTTGGTGATTTCAGCTTTTTTAAGCAAATTTACTAATTTTTGTGTTCATTTCTTAACATATTTAAACCAAATTCAACAAATATGTGTTTTCTGCTTTGTTCTGCTAACTTAGGCTTGTTCTTCTATTTCAGCTACATTTCAGCTGTTTTTCAGCAAGTTCTTCAGCAAGAAGCATTCACACTGCATTTTCGCAGGAAATGAAATTTCTCCAGTTACAACATTCACTTCATATGCTGCGTTGTCACTTTACTACAAATGTCAATGTCAGGACCTTCATTTTATTTTATAGATATACTTTTTAAAATATTTTTATACTGCTATACTACAATTTAGGACATTATCATACTTTTATTATTTAATTTTATGCTAATGTTTATTACATGTTTTAATGTTTAATGATTATTGTTGCACCAGGGGTCTGAGAATAATGTAATTTCAACCCTGTGTATGTCCTGTACATATTGCAGTTTTGACAATAAAGTTGACTTTGAACTACTCACATTATTATTGATGGTACTTTATGATAACATCAATGTTTTTGTTCATCAAAAGACATTTTTAGCTTTATTCCACTACTATTGTTATTGTCAGTAATACTAGCTTCAACATTTTCATTATGCCGACTGACATTCACATTGTTATTTACAGATGCGCAATTGCAGCACATTTTTAAACGGGTTACAAATGAACACCTGTCTTGTCATTAATCAAAAAAAGGATTTGTTTTTATTTCCCCCCCCAATTTTTGTCTTTCTTTGTGTTTTTTTCCCCCACTCTTTTGTTTAAACAGCGCACTGCAGTTATCGTCACCTTTAGACAGCCAGACAGAAAAAACAGACTCAAAGAGTGGCTGTAAAACAAACCCAAATCTTCCCCCACAGTTGGTTTGAGGTATTTGTGCTGATATTTGTTTGGTGCTGTCGTGGATTATGACTGAACATCAGAACGTTGTTCCACAAACCTTGTGGTTTGTTCTGATGTAACTTTTCAAGCCACGGGCTGTGCTGCCATGTTCATTTTTTAGTAAGAGAAAAATAAAAATGTCTCAGTGATGCCAGTATTTCTTCCTGCTTGTCGTTCTTTCAGCTGCTCCTTTCTGAACTAGATGAAATATGTTTGCAATCATTTGGTCACTGGTTGCCCTTCCTGTAGCAGGCTGGGCTCAAACCTGCACCCTGAAGATTGCAAAACCACGGCACTGACCACTGAGCCACTGCAGCCCCAGAATTACTCCTGGCATCAAACAGCTATAGAACACATTTAGTTGTGTAAAGTAAAGTAGCTTATTTGCTTTACTGATGCCCTGATCGTTGTGTGATTTCACTACAGTGTTTGGAAACTTCTTTTTTTCTCTCATGAATACAGAAGCCTTTATCAATGAACAATCATGACCTCCAAATCATTTTCATTTGGTCTTGTATCCCTTCCCAGATAGAGGCAGAAAAAAAAAAAGCTTCTGTAAAATTATTTCCGTTGTCTCACACCTTCATATCGTGCGAACACACACAAGCGAGCAGCTAAAACTTCTGCTTTCACAAAGAGGCGTTCACACTCAATGATGACTATGTGCTGGGATTTATCTGAGGTTTCATTTATCCAATTTGAAAACTAGATAAGGAACAATTTTTTTTTTCATTTCCTGTTTTATAGAACCGTAGAATAAAACAATACGTTTTTTTTTTTTACTGTAGAAATAGTGGTAAAAAAAAAAAAAACAACAACCTGGACTTTCTTTGTTCTTCATTTTGATTTATTGCACACACTGGCTTTTGTGTACCTGCAGTGCACGACCATGGGCTGGTCCTGTCCGGCCCGTTTGCTTCGTACCAGAGCCACAAAATCCAGAAAATCAGTTGAGTCATCGGGAACACCGTGGTCAGGCCAAGCCAGGTACTGCAGCTGAGTAAGCTCTCTCTGCTGGTCGTTCTGTAAAAAGAAACACAAAGGAAAAAATCAATTATATTTTAGAAAGATATATTTTATGAAACTTGATCTGCTTAATTTTGGTATTTAAATGTCACAAGCTACTAATGAACTTTGACAATGACACTGCACAGAATCTTGTTAGTCTAAATATGATCATCCATCCATGTTAAAATAAAAATTAAAAAACAGTTATTAATCCTCTCACTCCTCTAGAGCATTCCATATATTTTGTTTTATTTAAAATATATAAATAAAAAAGTTTTATGTAAATTCACCTAAAATAATCCATTCTGTCTGATGCATTTACAAGCTACAAAAGACAGCAGGTAGTGTCCACTGTGTCTTTTTCAATTCAGACCCTTGTGCATCTCCTTCATCCTGCCTTGGCTGCGTTACCGTGGTAACACGTTTATCTCCATGGCAACAATCACAGGCAGAGCAGAATGCTAATTGCCGCCTCTTACAGCAATACGCTTTAAAGGTCGTGCCACAGGGGAATCAATCAGGAGAACAAATGGCTGGAAATGGTGGTTAAAATCTCTGTCGCGGCTGGTTAGACGTTTTCTTCAAAAACCAAACGACAGAGGCGGTAAAAAGATAAAAAGTTCATCAGGTCTTCAGGTAAACATTACAGCAACAAAGGCTTCAGTGTGACAACAGAGCCAACTGTTTCATTTATATTATATTTACTTATATATTCCTAACTTTTATTACACTCCTTTGTTTTCCGTTCTCCGTTTCTGGTTTGGTTGGGGTTGCCGTGGTAACCAGATCCCAATATGTGGCCGGCGCTCAGCAGTGGCAGGAGCCAGAAAAAGAACAGCCCACACTGGTCACTATGACAACCAACCTCCTCGAGGGTGCAGCTAATCGCTCCTGAGCCACCGGTCCCGGTCTCCGATTGGATTCGGAGAGTCTCTTTATGTCAGCTCATGGTCCTCTCAGATCATACGTTTGGTAACTAACCGTGTGTGTGTGTGTGTGTGTGTGTGTGTGTGTGTGTGTGCGCATGCCCACAGGTACCTGCGCGTGAACGAGAGTCATCTCCCGGACCAGGAAGGCGGTGTTGCCCTCCTCGTTGAGGCACGTGACTTTAAAGTCTCCGTAGGTGGCGCTGCTGTCTGGGTTGGGCCAGTATTGGTGACACTTCACCTAAAAACACAGACAGGACTCGGTTCATGACGGAGCGTTTCACAGATTCCTGTCATTATTCACATGGAGTCCAAAACTATTTAACTGTAACTTCCTGTTGGATTTAATACCAAAGCATAAACACACACACTGCGTATAGAATCGTTTAAATATTTCAGTGTAGATAAAAAGCTCATGAGCTGTGCTGCAGATATTTTTGTCTGCAGCTTGACACAGTTTCTGGAGGTTTCTTTGTTGCGTAACGTTGCTTTTAAAAGACATCAGATGAAGACAAAATTTCATAGTGATGTGACGGTTTTCTGAAAATTACATATTTTGAGTACCCATTACAAATGGATTTTTAAATCTACAAACTAATTATTATTATTACATTTATTGTAATTATTAGCTTTAATTCACACAAAACACATCAATCTGAAAGCATCGCTCCAATTAAAGTGTCACAGTGTTTATAGTGAATTATGTTATGAAGATGTTAATTTCTAACTCATTCCCATAAGGGCTTTAAAAAATACATTAACTGTGTTGAGAATAGAATTACTTTCAGCTCGGTTTCCAGGCCTTTCCGTTGAAAATTAAAATCACATACCCGTCCTCTCTCGACCTGCGTAGTCAGCATGACCACCATAGAGGAGCCCTGCTCCCAGGTCATCCGCCAGAAGTCAGGGCACGTGTTGGGCAGTGGGCCCTGGCATGCTATGTAGCGGTTTATCAGACTGGAGGCAGGAATCTCCATCTGCATGGACAAAGACACAGAAAAAAATAAAATAAAATGCAGAGTTTACTGAGGCCATCACACAACACAAACGTTTCAGCACCAAGCCTCCTTGGGAAATCCTTCAACTGCTCCATTAAATAAGGTATGAGGGGAAAAAATGGAACAGGAAAACTTTGCATGTCTCTTTTTGTAATATAGTGTAAATAGAGAATCCTAACCAGAAAAATCACTGTAAGGGAAAAAAAAACAACAACTGTAATTTTAATTGGTGATATGTGACTTATCTGTGCTGCTGATCTCATGCTGCTGATTACCTCATGCCGCTGTACTCATTCATACCCATCTGCTCACCACAGACTCATGTCCGGGCTGCTGTTGATACGCTGTATTGTTTTACTTTATTAGTGATTAGCGTATATCTTAGATCTTTTAGCGTACCGTTTGGCATTTGTTTAGTGTATATCTTTATTTATATCTTACTGTTCCTTTTTACACTTTATATTTTTGCTATTGTTGGATGTAAATGGGACCCTGTGTACATAATTACGTTCCACCTCATGTTCCACATGTGATGCGAATGACAATAAAATTGACTTGAACTATTATTTTTTGATAATCTATCCATAAATGATGCAGCTTGTTTGAAATCCTACATCTTTTTTTTTTTATTGCAGATCCTCTTTAAAGATCACTTCATGTTTGACACTGTAGCAAACACATATTTGAGTCATAAACAGCATAACACAGTTGAAAACACCAGATATATAGCACATACACAAATATATATATATATATTTTTAAAAGCACTTTTCCTGTTTATGTCAAACACAAACACGTCTGAGGTTAAAAAAGAAAAATGTCTGACCGGCTGAAAAGAGCTGCTGATGTGCCTCTAATGTTCACCAGTACAGTCGGCACTGCAGCAGGCGTTTTGATCTTCTGCTAATTTATATTCTACTGCACTAAATAAAAGGCAGAACAGAGAGAAAACAAGCTTACGTTGATGTAATTTGCATTGATGTAGTCGTCTGTGCTTTTCAATATGACCCGCGTGGCATCATCTGTCAGACGAGAAAAAGAACAGTGAGATTAATAAAAAATCTATTAATAAAAACTGTCAAGAGACGAACTGAGGAGAGGCGAAGAGTTCGAAAAGAAAACGAGAAACAAACGTGGTGTAAAATCTGAGAACTGAATGACTGCTAAAATTTGTTTAAAAGTTAAAGTTAAAACACGCAGAACAGAAACTAAAGTAATCAAAACTGAAGCCGAACAGCAGCTAAAAGCTAAATAAAGCTAACCCTTAGCTACATACCTAAAGCTAAAATGATCAAAACTGTAGTTACAGCTCAAATTTGCCAAATCTTAGCTAAAAGCTAAAGTTAACTTGCTAAAAGAAGCATAAGAAAACCAAAAGAGAGCTATTTTGCTCAGGTGAATATTAAAGAACAATGTTTTTAAAGGAACTGAAGAGAGCTTAATGTATATTAATAGGGCAAGTTTAAATAAAAGTTAAACATTTTTTTAAAGTATAAATGCCACAAATATGGAAAGTACGTCATTCCATATCCAACCAATGGGTTTGATATTTGAATTGTTAAAGTAGCAACAAAAAATAAAATACTATGGAAGAAAGTGTAAACAGGGAACTATAAACTTGGACACTATAAGCAGAAACAGGAGACAGGAGGAACAAAATGCCATGCGAGCTCACGTACAAGGAGAAATGTCTCTGTAGCGGTTTTTGGAAACGTTCTGAGGTAATTTGGCACACAGCATGGTCATCCCCGGCCTCTTCCTGTACAGTTGCTGTGGGCGAAGGAACAAGAATGTCAAAGATCAGCTTTCCCTTTGACTGTGGGGCTTTGGCAAACTTTACGTGAATACAAATATCTTCAATCATTACAGAAGCTCATTGCTGGAACAATGAGTAAAATGCCAACAGTACAACTGGAAACCTGCAGTCCCACTGTCGTTGCATGCATTGCACTGATTCTTGTGTGTTTCTCGTACGTCAAACTGGGCCAGTATGGCTCCGCTGCTCAAGCCTTCCTTCAAGGTGGTCATAGAGTCCCTCAAAGCATGCTGGTCGAGGTGGGTGGGATCCTGCGGGGACTTCTCAGGGATGTACTGAAAGTCAGGCTCTGAGTCCACCTTCTCCTCCACAACATCATAGATGGCTGAATGGGACAGAGAAAACAAATCATAGCAGGTGAGCTGCTTTGTCATGAAGTTAAACATCAAACTTCAATAAGTAAACTGGCAGGTTTTCTATATCTGCATTGGAGTAAGAGTAAATAAAAAGCACAAATCCCACTTTGACCCTGTAGGTAAGTCAGTGCTTCATCCTGTTTAACAGTTCTCTCTGCCGAGCAAATTAAAAACATCATTCTGCACAGTGAGCACACATGGCTGAGACCTACAGGAGCTAAAACGTCATAGATCTCATTTGGAATGACAAAAAATCAGCATGAGTTTCAGGAGACAGGTGCCCCAGCTGTTCATGTATTACACTTCAGCTTCACATCAATGACACAAACATTTACAATTAATAAATTAAGTCTAGCTCAAGCCATAAAAAATTAAAAATAAAAAAACGTTAAAAAAACGATGCTATAAGCACTAATGTGGCAAAATAGGCCTGCTAAAAATACACATTTATCGCAGCATTTCATGTTCTGATGAAAACTCTGGTCATATAGTCATTGTTTTCTGCTTTGCTTTCAGCTTAATTGGGCAAGCATGTGTTCTTTCTGCTTTCTTCTGCTAATTTATGCTTGTTCTACCTTTTCAGCTATTTTTTTAGACAATGTTTAGCTTATTTGAGTAAATTCAGTTGTTTTCAAATAAATTCAAGTTTTTCATGGTAATTTTTGCTACTTTCAGCCTAAACTTCTTTATGCTAATTTCAGTATGTTAATTTCCTTTCAGCGTTTTCAGCTCGTTTCAGCATTTTCTGCTATTTCAGCTGCTATTTAGCCATTTTCATGCAAATTTTAGCTGTTTCAGCTAATTCCACTTTTTTTTTTTTTTATCTCAATTCAGCTCTTTCCACTTCCTTCTGGTAGGTTAAGCTTCTTTTTGCATTTTCAGCTACTTTTCAGCTGTATTTTGCTAATTTTCAGCTTTTTTAGCTCATTTTTTGCTCTTTTCTTCTTATTTAAACCTAATTCAGTAAATATGTGTTCTTCTGCTTTATTCTGCCAATTTTGGCTTGCTCTTCCTTTTCAGCCAAATTTCAGCATGTTTTAGCTAATTTCAGCTGTTATTCAGCAAGTTCTTCAGCAATAAGCATTCACAGTGCATTTTCGCAGGAAATGCTATTTCTCTAGCAACAGTTTAATGTAAGTTAAATATCAAAAATGCATTAAAAACAAATGAGTATGTTTTAAAAAAAGTAAAATAATGATTCTGTCCCACAATTCTGCAACATCCAAGGATGACTGACCCGTGGTAATCATTTTAATGCATGCAATGACACAAAGCCTTTAAGTTTATTTTTTATTTTTTCCTCTTTTATTTAGTCAAAGTGTTCAATTAAAAAAAACTGGAGTGGCAGCATTGTTAAATGTTCATATTTGTAAGCCTGCATGAACAGTTCCTACTATCTTGACATGATATTTTCAAACAAAGTCAAAGAGAAATTAGGTTTTTTCTAACTGGAAGAACTCACTGTTCGGTCTGACCAATAGGATGAGCTCCCCCGAGTGGCTCTCACAGCTGGCCTTGATGAACATAACCACCTGGTCGTGGGTGTGGTCAGAAATGTCCCGCCCATTAATAAAGACCACCTGGTCCCCTTCATTAAGGCGAGGCACACAGAGGTCAGCCTGAAGAGGGAGAAACAAACAAAAACAAAATGCCAACAATGAGACGTGAGATGAAGAAACGTATGAATCAATAAAATTATCAAATGTTGTTAATGAGACTAAACAAATGCAGCTGAAATCAGATTTCAGAGACGTTTTGTTTGTAATGTTATGTTATTTATGAACTTACTGATGTTCCTGGAGCCACTCTAGACACAATAATTGGCATCTTCTGGTCGGCTCCACCCTGGAAATAAACAAAACGTTTTAACAACTGTCCAACATTATTTAAAAAAAATACAAAAAGCCATGCGGTTTAGCTTGAGTCGAAGTTTACTCACCTTAACGTTGAAGCCAAAACGCCCGTGTTCATCGGGTTTCATCTTGATCAGCACCAGATTATCATGTGGCACAACGCCGTTCAACTGAAAGACCACAGTTTAATGAGAGGAAGGTTAATTTATATACTGATGTGCTGCAATACATTTGTTTATTGCACACACATTATAATTCAGCTTTAGCTTCCATGCAAAAAAAGACAAGATGTATTAATTTTCTTTAGATTAAAATACTGAATAAACATCTACAGAGTAAGTACAAATAACTCAAATCCTTTGCTGATGTGACAGCTTTTTGGCACTTTAATTTTGCTTCTACTAACGGAGGAGGAAAAATAATTTAAATGTTGTGTTAAGAGAACAATCTTTGAAACTAATGCTGTGTTGATGCAAAACTTAACATTCAAAAGACTTCAGAGTATTAAAAATATGTTGTTGTTTTTTTCTGGAGTTTTAACACCAAACTGTTTGATTTATGCCGTTATTAAATTATTAAAATACAGAAATGCCTCGTCTTTCTCTTGGCTTGAAAATTAGACACAGCTGACATCTTTGAAACATGAAAATACGTGTTCAAGAATCCACATCAGAATCTAAAAGGATGTCTTTCAAGAATAAAAAAAATAAATAAAAACAGAAGCAAATTTGTTTCTAGAATTCATTGTGTGAATACTTATGAAGCGTCCACACTATTGTGATCCATTTTTCTTCCGTACATTTTTCTTCATCTTTCTCGTTCCACAATTTTTGTGCTATTTCAACACATCATAAATCAAAATGTTCAGCTCTTTCAGAACAATCCTGCTATGATTTTTAGTATTGGTGCAACTTTAGCTTTTTGAAATATTTGGCCTTTTCTGCCATTTTTTTCCTCATAGAAAATGAATTGAGCTAATTTTTCCTCCTTCATATCTTTAGATGTGTTTACAACCTTTTACTGCTCCTTTCACATTTTGTTCTGGTTCAGCTTCTTTCAGCTTCCTTGTGCAAATTTTACTTATTTTCCAACTACTTTCAGCTGTTTTGTGATCCTTTCAGATTTTTTTCTGCTAACTACAACATTTCTGTTCTTCATCTACCTTCTTTCTGCTAATTTCAGCTTGTTATGCTCTTTTCAGCTATTTCTGCAAGTTTCAGCTTTTTTCTGCTATTTCAGCTACTATTTAACTGTTTTTATGCTAATTTTAGCTTTTTCAGCTCCACATTTTTTGTACTGATTTCAACGGTTTTCAGACTAATTCAGCAAAAAATGTGCCGTCTACACTTTGTTCTGCAAATTTAAGCTTTCTGCCTTTTAAGCTAATTTTCAGCTGATCTTTGCCAATTTCAGCTTTTTTCTGATAATTTCAACTTTTTATACACATTTCTGCATCTTTTGGCCTAATTGAACAGTTTTGTGTTCTTTCTGCTTTCTTCTGTTAATTTAAGCTTGTTCTACCTTTTAATTCAACCTTTATTTATACAGGTAAATCGCATTGAGCCTCAAGGACTCATTTACAAGAGAGACCTGATTTCAACAAAGAATGATGACATCAATGAACAACAATAATCAGTTATAAAAAGGCATACAGATTTTTTTTTTTTTTTGCAAATAAGATGGCAAAAAGAGCAACAAAACAGCTAGATTATAAGGCGAATGTAGAGAACTAAAAACAGGAACATGTCTGCATTGGTCCCTGCCAGGAGTCCAACAGATTCTTAAAGCCACTTAGAGAGGTCAAGGTCGAGAGCTTCAAATCTTTTTGTAAGATATTCCAGGAAACAGGAGCGGAGTAGGAGAAGGCCCTCTTGGCAAGTTCAGTCCTCATTGAGGGAACACTGCAGGTAATAATGTCCTGAGAGCGCACGCTGTAGCTGCACTCACGTAGAGACGTAGGAGGAGATGTATGAAGGCAGCAGACCAAGAAGTGATTTAAAGATGAAAATGTACCAGTGAGAGAGTCTGAGTGAAGTTCATGATGTCCAGTTAACCAGTGAATACAGGGTGCAATGATGGGTACGATAATCACAGCCAGTTTTCAGCTAATTATTAGCAATTTTTTTTAGCTAATTTCAGCTGTTTTCAGTTTTACGTGGTAATTTCTGCTACTTTAAGCCAAATTAACTTATTTTTGCTAATTTCAGCTTGTTATTCTCCTTTCAACTTATCTCTGCTAATTTCAGCTTTTCTATTTATGTTTTTTGTGCTAAATTTTGCTTTTTCAGCAATTTCCACATTTTTTAGCTCATTTCAGCTCGTTCCACTTCCTTCTGGTAATTTCAGCTTCTTTTTGCCCTTTCAGCTACATTTCAGCCCTTTTTTGTGGCTAATTTCAGATTTTTTTAGACAATTTACTAGTTTTTGTGCTAATTTCTGCTTATTTAAACCAAATTCAGCAAATATGTGTTCTTTCTGCTTTCTTCTGCTAAACTGGGATTGTTCTTCCATTTTCAGCATGTTTTTAGCTAATTTCAACAGTTTTTCAGCAAGTTCTTCAGCAATAAACATTCACACTGCATATTTGCAGGAAATACAATTTTTCTAGTTATCGTAGTAATAGCGTTAAGCTGCCATGGAAACATTATTTATTAGATTAGCTTAGATTCATCCATCCATCCATCCATTTTCTTTACCCGTTTATTCCATTTTGGGTCACGGGGGTCGCTGGTACCCATGTCCAGCAATCACTGTGCGAGGGGCGGGGTACACCCTGGACGGGTCGCAAGTCCATCACAGGGCCACATAGAGACAAACGAGACAAACAACCATTCACTCTCTCACTCACACCTAGGGACAATTTAGAGTTACCAATCAGCCTAACATGCATGTTTTTGGACTGTGGGAGGAAACCGGAGTACCCGGAGAAAACCCACGCATGCACGGAGAGAACATGCAAACTCCACCCAGAAAGGCCCCTGGACCGGGGTTTGAAGCTTAGATTCATGTCTCTTTAAAAATATTTTAAAATCTGTGTCTTTTATCGTAAATAAAATCCGAACAACCACAGCCTTTTTAACATTTAAGCTGCTGGCCATCTGAATAACTTCTTACGATGCGAGTAACTGTGTAGGCGCACTGACCGTGGTTTTGTCTGTGTTGACGGGAACGTCGTACATCTCGTTGAGGTGGTTGTCCAGCAGGCTTTGCTGGGAGTGGGCCTGGATGATCTGGCTCAGTGTCTTCCTGCTCAGCTGCTTCGGGGGCAGAGCTGGAGGTTGGCCTTCGATCCCATCTGGAGACCTGAGGAAAAGAAACAGGAAAAGACGACATTCAAAATCAGTCAAGCCTTGTTGTCAAGCTTTAATAAGGTTCTTTGGTTTTAATACAACTGGAGCAGAAAACAAGCTACAGCATTACTAAAGCAAAAATCTATCTAATCAGAACAGAATTATTATTATTTTTTTAATATATAAATGATGAGAGCAATCAAATTCTCCAAACTGCATATGAAAGAGTAAAATGCTGAAACACTGGGATGTAAAGACACAGCGTGGCACTGTCAGTCACGATGCATTAACCTCAATAAAAAGGCAATGAGGAGAAGGAAAACACCCAGCGTGTCTGTCATCCAGACAGTAAAAAGCAGACAGTGCGCATGAGGAAACATTACGGTCAGTCAGTTATGGCTTTCAGCAGCATCTCACGTCGCTCTTTTGTGGGTAAAAGTCAGTCGTCATGTGCAAGAAGCATTGAACCGGCATTCCTTGGGGGTGGGGGCATCAGTCAAAAAGCATTGCCTTTGTTTTGGCTGCAGCAACTGGTGCCACTTTGTGTCTTAAATGGACGCACACAAACCAACATTTACTGCAGGTCAAAACCAGGTCAGGCTGAGACGGAGCTCAGCAGGCCTCAGCCAGGACGTCCTCTTCTTTTCCTCTATATGACACACACGTAACGGATATGCAAACATCGTCACATCTCATACTAACATGTAAAATGCACGCATACAAGTAGTTCAGCAGCATCCTAAACAAGACAATGTTCAGGTTTATTCACCTCCTACTTTCAAGCAAGAAAAATGATGTAGTAAATTCATCACTTCACAGAAAACCAATGCTAGAAACCATGACTATGACTATGTCCAATTGATTTTCAACTTTCACAACTGAAAAATTTACACTTTTAATGGACTGTCTTGTTTGAGTAAATCTCACAGTGTTTGGCTGCCATACATGGAGAACAAAATCACACTAGAGGGGGAACAATAAACATTAGAAAAGTTAAAATACAAGCCTAAAGACCTGTAAAGATGGCAAAAATGATGCTGCATTCAGTCTTTACCTGTAGCATCTGGAGATTTTCACAGAAGAGAAAGGTATTTTATTCAGCTGCAAAAATATTTTGAAGTTACAGAATAATCTAGATTGGGACCAGATTATTTATGTGGACACTAAAATTGAAGCTGGAGAAGGACATAATTCAGTTTTAGCTACATATATATATATATATATATATATATATATATATATATATATGATTTATTTCTTGAAATCAGCAGTAGAGAAGGTTAAGTAGTATTTAGTTTATTTTGCCATTGATGGGGTTTTGTAAAAAAAAAAAAATCCTCCTTTATGCACCGTTAACTCTAAAAATACAGATTAAAATACAGTTTAATGACAATATGTACAATTTTTAAAAGTGCATTATTATGTTTTACCTGCAGTTAAGTGAACGCTGAAATTACTTATTCATAAATTGTCTGCAGGAGCTGCTAAAGCAGTGAATGTAAGGTTTTAGGAACATTAAATTGGGATTAAAATGATGAACAAACCTAATCGTATTAAAAAAAAAAAAAGTGTTATCAAGCGGAGCATGTGATAATGTCATTTATTTTTACTTTGAAAAACAACGATGAGCAACTTTGATTCTTCCTAATCTCTCTGTGAAGAGTTGCATGTCGTCAGCTCTATGCTTCACTCCGTCTTCAAACTGTAAAACAGCAACATGGGACTTTAAAGAAATTTACCAGACATTTTACAGTGTGTGTGTGTGTGTGAGTTTAAAGAGATGCAGCGAGCAGTTCTGGTTCAGCCTTGAGGTTCGACTGCTCCACCCTGCTACGCCTCTATAAACACTTTTTATGGACTTCTTTCAAAGGACTCATCTTTCCAATGCGACCAGCTAAGTGACACTGGGAGAGGGTGTGAACTGTTGGGAGAAGCCACAGACACCAAAATACGTTTAAAGAAATAAAAATAAAAACGTCCCCACACCAGAACAGACAGACTGACTAACGCCGATGAGGAAAATCTAACAGCTAAATTAAAGGGTGGCTATTCTGAGGGGAATTTATTTTATTTATGAAGGAGGAAAATTATGATCTAACAACGATCTGGCAAGTCAAAAGCTGATGTTTTTATCCCAAATGAGAAGGAACTTTTAAGAGAAAAACAGACCAAAAAGAGGTCCATGAGAATGATATGAGCTGCAGAAAATAATGTCACGCCATAGGAATTAAACTCACGGTGTAGAGTCCAGACTGATGCTGTTGGCCTGCGTGGACGATGCTGACTTGTGATTGGAGGAGAAGACAGGTAGGCTGGGTGAAGCATGGATCACATGATCAACCAGGTGGCCAACTGATGATGGGCGTATTCGTGTACCCTCCTGAACAAACAGCGAGTTCCTGACAAAAGCATACAGAGAATTGAGTTTAACCACAACCTGACATGTTTTGGTGCTGATGGACGGATGTTAGTTCACAGACTAGAAGTTCAGGAAAGCTAAAATTTAATTAATCTATGCCAACTTTAAATTTATTTTGTATTGGATAAAGGTACACTGTATTATTATAGGTATCTTCATGCTATGTACTGTACTTGCTGCCGTACACGTCGCTCCGCCGTATAAGTCGCATCAGTCCAAATTTGTCTAATAAAGTGGGAAAAATCATAAATATGTCGCTTAGTCATATACGTCGCATCTATTATGCATTACCTCTGACGTGTCGCATTTGTTATACGTCACCACTGACTACATGGAAACGTGGGCCGGTTCTGTGCCAAAAATTGATTGGCTGCCAAATGGCGGCCGTGGGAGCGTGCACTGGAGGACTTTAACAAGAATTTAACAAGATTAACACATAAAAACAATTATTTGTTTGCTCGAAATTATAGTAAAGTTGTGTCTCAGTTGAACTTTTCGTTAATAAATGCACTTTAATGATCAAATCAGCTGCATTTCTCCTGGGCGGCACGGCGAAATGCAGCTGATTTGACGTTTGTTCCAGGAGTTCTGGAGCGAGACAAAGGTGGCTTTGTATGGCAAGCCAAGTGTCTCATTAATAGTCACTTTTACCTAATAATGAGGCACATGGCTTGCCATATCCATTGAGGGTCCTCTAGAGACTGAAAATGGTAGTGTTCAATATTTTCCATGTCAGAATGAATGAAATCGTCAGTACTCCACCAAAAATTGGGTTATAAATATGGGGAAAAAACGTAAATAAGTCGCTTCGCCATCTAAGTTGCAGGGCATGCTAATTTATGCAAAAAGGTGCGACTTATACAGTGTATAGTATAGTAACCTATAGAAAAGTATTTTAGAATTCTGGCTGTACAACTTACTGGTTGGGTGTTCCAGGTGGTGAGCGGGTGGGCAGGCTTTGGGTCTCCAGTCTCTCGTCTGATAGGCTGTTCCTGCTGACTGACTCCCAGTCAGTCCCGCCCACCAACTTTCTAGCCAGTGGCTTGCTGGGAGACCTGTTCAGACCAGACATTTCTTAAATTATGTCCTAAGTAAAACGAAAATGTCAGTACCTTTTAGCCTCATTTCAACTAGACGGTGCTGCTCGACTTCAATAGACTTTACTCACTGCTGGTTTCAGGTAATTGTCTCTATATTTCCTTCCTTCATTGTTGGCAGGATTCTTAACTGACTTTAAAAGCTGCATAGTGAAAATCTGCCATGTTGGAAAGGCAGACACAAATAGCTCAGCTGTGTACTTCCAAAGAAGAGCGAGCCATTGTACAGACTCGAAGTGTTGGACATTTTTAAAGTAAGAATAACTTCTTGTCAGCATGCAAAGGAGATAGAAACCGCCATAAAGATATCTTTCATTAATTTGACCAGCCTGCACGGTTTTCATGTCAACTAGAGGGGTACCTGAACAAATGCTAAATGATCCAAATTCATAGAAGCCTTTTTATTGGTTAATCAAAGCACTTTGCAACGTGTTTCTGATTCACCCAAACACTTCTACATCATTTACAATTGCGCTGTACAATATTAAAAAAAAACTAACAAACTCAAAGCAATCTGCTCCTCAGATAAATAATGTTATTAACTTACTTTTTATATTTATGAATGTTTCTGTGCAATGCCCTGAGATGACTTCTGTTGTGACTTGGTGCTATATAAATAAACTGAATTGAATTGATATTGCAATAACAATATCAATTGTAATAATAAGCCCACATTTTCCTCACTTTCGTCTGTTGTCACCAACATCTAAACCAGGTACGAGCATCAAGGATAGCAGGAGCTGAGCGGATTGACCAAATATATGATCATCATGCAGCCGGTGAATGCATGGTACATGTTATATAAAAGCCTATGAGTTATTGCAATCCAAGCAGCTGTTTGCAATATTTGTATTGTGCTCTCTATTCTGAGATGACAACAATTTGTTGACAGACTGTTCAGCCCTAACTTACGACACACACATCTACAATCTCATACTGACAGGTGAAGAGAAAAAACACTCATTATCTCATGCTATGGCAACCGGCAGTGGATGAGAAATATCTGGCAACAGATGAACATTTTGTTTTTGAGTGCTGTTGGAAGACAAATGGGCCAGACTAAAGAGTTGAGTGACCTTGATAAGAGTCCAGTAATGATCAGTTAGTTGGTAATAAATGGGTAATGACTTCAGAACAACAATGAGATACCAAGTTTTACTGACAACGTAAATTAGAACAAAGTGAGTATAGTGAAGCCTGGTTGAGCCACGCAATGAAGTTGAAGAGGGTAATCCCATAGCTACATGAATGTAGCTACTGTTGTTTTATGGGTTTAAACGAAACATTAAAAAACAAACAGTTCATCACCTGGCAAAAACTCTGTCCTTGATCCCTTTCTCCTTCCCATATTGCACAGACTGCACTTCTGTCCGCCCACTAAAGGGATAAACAACAAAAACAGCTGTTAATCAGTTGATCTAAAAAAATGTTTAGCGGTTTAGAAAGTTTTAACATCAGATCTTTAAAACCAAGTTGAATTGCAGTAGCGCTAATTCTTAATGAACACAACATGAAGAAATACAATATTTTCCGCCGTACACGTCGCATCAGTCCAAATAGGTCTAATAAAGTGGAAATAAAATGAATACGGCGCTTCACCATATAAGTTGCATTTGTTATGCGTCACCGCTGACAACCCGGAAAAACAATTATTTGTTGTTCAACATTATAGAAAAGGTGTGTCAGTTTAACTTTTCTATAATAAATGAACTTTCATGGTCAAATCAGCTGCGTTTCACCTGGGTGGTGCAGCGAAATGCAGCTGATCTGACGTTTGTTCCAGGAGTTCCAGAGCGAGGCGAAGGTGGCTTTTTATGGCAAGCCAAGTGTCTCATTAATAGCCACTTTTAACTATTAATGAGACACTTGGCTTGCCATATTACTCGATCACCCTCTAGTGGCTGAAAATGGTAGTGTTCAATATTTTCCGTCAGAATGAATGAAATCATTAGACCTCAGCCAAAAATTAGGTTAAAAAATATGGCGGGAAAAACATATCTGTCGTTTTGCTGTATAAGTCACAGGCATGATAATTTATGCAAAAAAAACCCTGCGACTTATAAGCCGGAAAATACAGCACATAGTTTTTACATACATTATTTCTTGAGATCCCAGTAAAATAAATCTATCTTAATATAAACAAATTTGAAAAGTAAATAAAGCAGTTTGCCATCTAATAAGTGCACTTTTTATATTTAACACTACTAATAACAAATTAAACAGCAAAGCTTTCAAAAAAGTATATATATATATATATATATATATATATATATATATATATATATATATATATATATATATACAATATATATACACACACACACACATTTGCATAAGTTTCTTGATGTCTCAAGGGGGAAAAAAAACCTTTTCCACACACAACAAACACACATGGCCAACATCAGACAAGATTCGCTCACGTTGAATCACTGCTGTTCAATAATGCATCACAAGACTCACTTCATCTCCCACGCTCATATTTTAAAGAATAAGGAAACGAAAAACGTAACCAGCGAAGTGAAACAAAGCTGGCAAGAAGCAAACTTATATTCCAGTTGGTGGAAGAATTTTGTTTTATGTTTACAGCTTTTAAGAAATGCATGTAAATAAAAACAAAAAGGGAATATCTAATTGAAAGAATGAGTTGGAGAAGTAAAGAAGGCAGCTCTGAAATGTATGCCATAATTAGGAATGGACGCAAATGATTAAAATAATAATTGTAAATGAAAAAGAAGTCGTAAATAAATAAGCATTTCTGTTTTTAAGTGTTTCAACCTCTCAAACCAAAAAAAAAAAAAACTAGTGTTGATAAAAGGAATGTGCACTTTTGCTGATTGGATTATTGTGGTTAAAAATGTACACCCATCTAGCATCAAGTCTGTTTTTGTTCCTCCTAGAGATGGTGTTCGGGTCCCCTTTTTTCTTACCAGTATCTGAACTTTGAGCCCAGGCTGAAGTAGTGAGCAAAGAAATTTTTCTGAGGGGGGATGGGCCGCTCCAGCCTGAAAAAGGTGTGGTGCTCCACGCAGGCCTTCCACAGGTTCTTACACGCCCGGTAGTTGACCATGTTAAAACCCAGCAGCGTCTCCCGCGTCTCTGCCTGCGTGCGAGGAAAAACAACACGACAGTTTGTTGGATGTTTGTCCAAATCGGTTCAGTTTGTCAATTTTATAATCAAAAGAGCCATTTCTTGCCCTTTGCACACTAAATAAAATGTCTGTGGAGCTGCAAAACCTGCTAAAACTGCACTACTACTTATGCACTTTTCACTTGTCGCTTGCGAACAGGTTGAGCTTATATTTGTGAAAATTTACAATTTGGTAGCTGGTCAAATTGACAAAGAAAATGCAGAATAATGTATTATTTTAATTCCCCAGCAGATAAAGTTGTGTAGTCTCTGTAAGTAGGTCTAGGAAAAAATATATTGGTATTGGTTATCGCCCAAAAAAGTTTGAACATATTGGCATATCGGATATCGGCCAAAAATCCAATATCGTGCATCCCTACCAATAATACAATAATAAACATTAAATCAATACTCTAAGCTGCATTTGCTTTTTCTCTAAGTAAACCTCTAATCCTGTTTCATCAAGACAAGACCTGGATGGGAAGAGGTGCATAAAAATGTGGCAAAAAAATCCCCAAAAACCTTAGCATAAAATTACTAGACAAGACACGTTTAAAATTAATTAAATATTTAACCTAATCGTGGTGACACTGGCTCATGAAATGTTGAAATGATCACACGGTTTGTGTTGAACATGAGTTATCGTCCTAACACATGACTGGTTTAACAGGGGAAAAAGACGACTGAATATTCTCAGTAGGTCGTCAGAAAACAAAGAGATTCACATGTGAAACAAAGGATGCAGGAGGGGGATTAAAGCGGAGACGACCAGCAGGAGTTTAATCTGACATCCATTACACAAACGTATGCAGACACGACACAGTTGGCGCGCTGTGCTCAAAGAATATACGTCCATTTATTTAGGGACACTAAGAGAAATGCACACACAAGACTTAAATCTGTTGACTAAATAGCTTGTGGGTGGGAGATTACTGTCCAAAAGTACTTTTATTTATGTGCGTGTGTGTTTGTATGTGTGTACACTTACCACCTCTCGTCTCAGCTGGATGAAAAACTGTTTGCACTTGAAGGAAATTTTCACTATTTTCAACCTGGAAGCGATAAAAGCAGAGAACAAGAATAAATTCAAGTCAGTTATGAGCAGATTTACCACATTTCTACATCTTTTATGAATTCATGTATACAGCCTATATGTATTTATATACATGTTGGCTCTATACATATTTTATGCAGCTATCATGCTCTTCTTGTATAGACAAAAAAATGTGGTTTTGTATGATATTGATTGATTCTTCAAAAAATTATACTTCTATTTGGAAATCAATTGCCTGAATTCAAAGTGTTGTTTTTGCAACATAAAGAACTCATCTTAGTTATTTAAAGTTATTAACAAAAATATTTTTGGTGACTGGTAAGGACAATAAAAAAACAAGCTTGTTAAATTGATTTTTCCTACAATAATATGGTATTTTAGGTGTAGAAAAGTCCTGGATTGTATTTCAACCTTTCAAAATCTTTAGTCTTGCCTACAGTGTATGTTTTGCATGTTCATGCCAGGGACTAGGGGCTTCCCATTATAAAGGAGTAGCACTATGTGGTCATTCAAATGGAGATTTGTCAAGGGAAAACTGTATGGTTGAGGTAGAAGTAGGAAAATGAGACTTGAATTAAGAGTTATAAATTCAAGATTTGTACTACACCTTCCTCCTGAAACAGGCTGCAAAGAAAACAGCTCTGAAAACAGTACTGTAACCCTGTTGTACTTTGAAAGCAGTATATCTCAAGCATTTCATTATTAATTGAGAAAACTGTCAACTTGTGAAAATAAATACATGACTATTTTAAAGATGTCAAACAAACTGTGGTTTTATGTAAAGACTATTAATGTGGTTTTCTACTGGTTCTGTAGTTCTACTGACCCACTGTTAATTTAACCTCTAATCTTTTATAGTGAAACGTTTTTAAAATTCACAGCAGTAGTCTTTTAGCTGTGCAGCAATACTCATCAAGTCATAAAAAAGTCTTTCAGCGATAGTTTTACGATTTAATGAAAATGATCAAATCTTTATAAAACTTTCAAATTACTCCAATCTAACCTGAAGTGTATAAAAACACCAGATTCCAATACCATCATTTATTAAACATCAACAAAGCCAAAAAGCTGTGTGTGGGAAAAACTAAGTATGCCTTTGCTGCTTCCAGGGGATTTAAAAGGTAAAACAGCAGACAATAAAATAGTTGCTAATCAAATTACTTGATGAACTGATAATAAACAATGTCACCTCCTTTATAAAAACCGGAGCTTTGACAGTTTATTGCTCTGAGTCATACAGGTGTGTGTTTTAACGTCAGGAAAGAAAGACATCCTTGACCTTAGACATCATTGTCACTGTTCTCCAGTCAATTTAGAGTTCATCCTTCCATTGTGAGAAAGATCATCACAAATGGAAAACAAAAAATGAATAGGACCTTAAACAATCTTTCCAGGAGTGGAAATCCCAGCAAAAAGGTCAGATCATGCAACGATCCAATCGGTTCTTCTCATCCTAAGCATTTCATTGTACTGTTAACCTTGTGTTAACCTTCCATATGACGAATAAACACAACTTGAACTTGATCGGAAACAGTTAAAGAAACAACAAAACGGGAGCTCTACCTCAGCTTTTAAATTCCTTGGTTAATAGGTTAAAGTTCATTTCAGTACAACTAGAAAAAGACTGAAGGAGCGGCACATTTGAGAGGGTTGCTCGAGGAAAGCCTCTTCTCTCTAAACAACATGCTAGTGTAGCGTCCTACGTTCATCACAATGACGCCACATATTGATCAAGCCCAGAGACTAACTGTATGGTAATTAACTATCTTCCTCCCCTCTGGTTATTAACTGTTCCTTCCCGAGACCAGACAAGAAGACACCATCAGGATCTACATAAAAAAAAAAAACTATTTGCATTTTCTGCCAAAAGAGACAGAGCTTGATCATATCGCTGTAAATTTAAACTGGAGAGGTGTGTGATCACCATGACAGCGTGGGGGTTGACCCAAGCTTCAAAATAACTTTTATGATGCTCTGAGGACACGTAGTGAGATAATAATCCAGATGGCCTTTTTCAGAACAAGCTTTTGCCTTCTCATTTAAGCTTCAAAGAGAACCCCTGTTGTTTACCAGTACTGTAGTAAAATCATTGTTTTTCACTTTGGTGAGTATATGTCCTAAATTAATGTAAACAGCTAAATACCCTGCCTGGCCAAAAAAAAAAAAAGTTGCCACATGGATTTAACTAATAGGTACGAGCCTCCTATTGGATAATTACTGCATGGGTGATTATCTTTCAGCTGGCAACAAGTTATTTAACCCCAACTGGTGCAATGAGTTGCTTCTCATTTCTTAAACAACCATGTGGAAAGACAAATCGCACGGTCGTGGAAAAGATGTCAGTCTGTTTGAGAAGGGTCAAATCATTGGCATCAAGCACAGAAAACATCTAAGGAGATTGAAGAAACTACTAAAATTGGGTTAAGAACTGTCCAACGCATTATTAAAAACTGGAAGGATAGTGGGGATCGTCTTTGAGGAAGAAATGTGGCCAGAAAAAAATCCTGAATGATCGTGATCGGCGATCACTTAAACGTTTGGTGAAATCAAATAGAAGAAAAACAGCAGTAGCTCTCAGGGCTGTGTTTAATAGTGAAAGTAAGAGCATTTCCACACACACAATGTGAAGGGAACTCGAGAGATTGGGACTGAACAGCTGTGTAGCCTTAAGAAAACCACTAATCAGTGAGGCTAACTGGAATAAAAGGCTTCAGTTTGCTAGGGAGCATAAAGATTGGACTCTGGAGCAATGGAAGAAGGTCATGTGGTCTGATGAGTCCAGATTGACCCTGTTCCAGAGTGATGGGCGCATCAGGGAGAGGCAGGTGAAGTGATGCACCCATCATGCCTAGTGCCTAGTCATCAATGCAAGATCTTGGTGAAAAATTAATGCAACACTGGATGGAAATAGATCTTGTGACATTGCAGAAGTTTATCGAAACAATGCCACAGTGAATGCATGACATGATCAAAGCTACAGGCGGTCCAACGAAATATTAGTGTGACCTTTTTTGATGGCGATTTTTTTTGGGCCAGGCAGTGAACATTCACATTTCAACACTGTTCACAACTGTCAATAAAGGTTTCATGCAAGGTGACTTTAACAAATCATTTTTTGTGTCTTCAATTCATGATGGGAATTACAGCATGGTAAAGAACGTGATGTTTTGATCAGGGTTTGGTCCATTTATTATTTACATGTTTGATATCTCCTCTTTAATACTGTATACATGCATATACTCCTACACTAGCACGACTTAAGATGGCAAAACTGCATCTGAACAAATCACAGGACTTCTGGAACAATGTTTTATCAACAGATGAGACCACAGAAGATGTTTGGTCATAATGCACAACATATGTGGCAAAATCCAAACATTAAGTCAGCAAAAACACCTCATACCAACTGTGAAGCACAGAGGTGGAGGGCTGATGATTGGGCTAGTTTTGCAGCCATAAGACCTTACCGTCATTGAGTTGACCATGAACTTCTTCGTAAACAAAAGTGCTCTAGAGTTAAATGTGACGCCATATGTCTAACAGCTGAAGTGCGGCCAAAATTGGGTCGTGCTGCAGGACAATGATCCCAAACATTAGCTGCTAATCTACAACAGAAAGGCTGAAAAAGAAAACGAGGTGTTGCAACGGTGCAGTCAAAGTTCAAACATTAACTCAGTTCAGATGCTGTGGTGACTCTTAGTAAAGCTGTGCAGAAACAAGCAGCTGCAAACCTCAATGAACTGAAGCAAAGGTGTAAAGAAGAGTGGGCCAACTGCCTTCCACAACCATGTTAGAAACTGTTGGCTTTGTTGTTGTTTAACACATAAATAAGGAAACAGCAACTGGAAGGGGGTGGGCTTTCTTTTTCCCTTGAATGTGTTTTCTTAACTAGTCACTAACAGAAGGTTAGATGGTATGCATTTAGTTATAATCAGAGGACCACACACACACACACACACACACACACGTGACTACACATACATTTGCTGATGAGCAGCAGCAGCAGCAGAGTAACATAATCCCTTCCTAGAGTTTTGTTGCTGCTGTGACTCATCGCTCCTTGCTAAATATACTTTACACTTACACACACGCTTGCATTAACGAAACACGCACACACACACACACACTTGGGCAGCGCGTGAGTCATGCCCTACCCAAGTGTGGCTCATTTGTCAGGCTGCTGCGAATGAAAATAGGAAAGAGGCAAAAATCTAAATGTCTTTTTATTTTATTTTTCATATATTTTACAGCTCAACTGATGCTGGAAGAAAAAAGTGACAAGAAGGAAGAAGAGACAACACGAGAAGTGACACGACGTAAGCAGAGAGCCTTTGTTAATTAGACGACAAAGCAAAACAATGATTTAAAGAGCCAGCGAGCGTAGCGTTGGGACGACCGAGCCAGAGATTATGTTTCTCTGCTTCTGTCACACCCTCAGAGCTGAACAGCTGTCTGGGACACCACGGTTAGAATCTAAATTTAACTCATCTGACACGGTTAACCGAGCAAGGACCGCACACTGACTTTAAGTCTTTGCATGTATTATTATCCCTAGAATACCAGGAAAACAAAATCAATCAAATCAACAAAAAACATTCCCTTGTGTACAAATGTCATCGAGGGAACGGTGCTCTACAATTTGGGTACTTTCTCTCTCTCGTCCTCTGCACCCACTAGAATTTGGTTTCCCACACTGCAGAGGATACTTCCAAGAATTGATCCTTTGGAGAGAAAGTGACATAATGACTGATGAGAGTGTGAGAGAAGCAAAAGCAGGTCAGAGACCAAAAGCTGATTTGATGCCTTTAATATTTCCAGGAAACATGAAATCTAGTTTAACACCAAATCCTCCACCTGGAAGAATCTGGAGGAATCATCTGCATTATTATGCAGGAGATCAACCGTGGCTTAAATATTAACGCATCAACGTCAATAATCGCCGTGTGAGAAGGTTCCAAAATATTATGCAGCCTTGTTCTGTGCAGAAAGAGTTCTTGGAGGTGGTTCAAGTGGAGCTGGCAGCAGATTGATGGGCACAGAGGTAAATTTGGAACAAGGACATGCACAGTTTAAATTTCCACTTCACGGGAAATGACAAAGGATGAAAATATCAACAAAGAAAGCTTGTTATTTTTTTTTTTTTCAAAGCGCTTCTCAGCCATGTTTTCCATTGACACATATTCACTCATTGTCAGCTGATCGCTGCCAGGATTTATGTTGGCCGAGGAGCAAAGCGTCTTTGAAGCGGTTTAGACAACCATGATCTTGGGCTTGGAGAAGCCAGAATGAAATTTCTGATCACAGTTTTCTAATGAATAGCTATGTTTGCTTTCAGGTTTGTTCAAAGAGTTCTTTAACAGGAATTACCAGCAGAAACTCTATCCTAATATGCTGATTTTGCAATGATGATTTAGATATTCAGTAACTCCATCTGGAACCAGACAAATTATCCGTCTTAATAAAAATAAAATGTGAAAAAGAGCCAACTTCTTAAAACAGAAATGTGGCAAATAAGTTTAAAACGAAAGTCACAAATGTGTGCAAAGCTTTCACTAAAACCCAACGCATATCCCCCAAATATTCTGCATTCAGTCTCATTTAGACATTAAAAACAAACCTTCACATGTTCCACTTATTTGACTCTTTCGTTATTTTTCTTTTAGTTTTTTACTAGAATAAAAAAAAGTAAAATGTCATATTGATGTATGTGTTGCACATTCATGCATTCTGCGTTTGTGTCACTCACCATGGGAAGTAGTTGATTCGTACCCTGTTCTTGTAAATCACAATACCAGCGGACATCACTCCAACGAGAATCTCTGTGTTACTCTGATCCTAAAACAAGTAGAAGAAGAGTTTGTTTAGTCTGAGAAGGCCAGTAGAAATAAACAAATACAGAACGAAAAGTATAACGATTACAGTAGTCCCTCGTTACTTTGCGGTTTGGCTTTCGTGGATTCGCTTTTTCACGTTTTTTTCAACAATTGTCAACTTTAATATTACTCACATGATTGGGACGGTATGGAATAAAAAGTTAACGGGAAAAAATTATGGACAAGCTTTGCCATTTTGCAGTTTTCTTTCAATAAGCCTATACTGCATCGCTAGTCCAAAAGAACTACATTACCCAGAAGCCAACAGAAATGGAGGGAAAGTTCTGATCTGATCCGAACCTGACTAAAAAGGTCGGTCCTTATTCATAATGACTTTGGCGCTCAGTGGATGCAGAGTAGAGCTGTCATTTCTAACCCGGGCTTGAAGCCCAGCCTGGCCTAACCCGAATTTGGGCTGGGCCGGGTCATAATAATATGCTGGATGGGTGGGCCGGGTCGGTGTCGAGTTTTGATTGAATCAGAGGATCAGCCGCGATCCAAATATATGGCAACATAGCTTGCCGGCAACATAGCTGGCTATACCTTCACCAACCGCACGCAGCCATTAGACAACGAGCTGACCGGCCTTCAAAAATGTAAAATAAAGTTCAGTTAAGCTTCAGATGGGACTACCGGTACTGCCAGGAAGCGATCCAACGCCCAAATGGATGTTCAGCCGCTGCACTCAACGGACACGCGTGGCCGATGACCCAAACAGGCGAGATCCCAAAGCAGACATGTCAGAGCAGGGTCCATGTCTGAATAATGCAGAATGCAGGCAGAAGCGGGGATTTAATGTGCTTTGATGGCCATGAAAGGACAAACACCTCCTCAGCTCCGATCTTCTGCCCCTTTTATTCAGCCACGCACGTCTGTCGACCGTTAACTACATAAGTAGTCAAAGCTTAATTAAAAATGTCGAGTGGTGGGGGGTGGGGTGTTCGGGTTCGAACCTGCAATTACTGTTAATTCATCGGGTCGGATGGGATTCAGAAATGATGGCTAAGGGCTGGAGCCAAGTCGGGTCTGATTTTTTTGGCCCAAATGCAACTCTAATGCAGACAGTTGTATGGAACCAACCAGAATTGGACCAGGACTACGTCCAGCCTCATTGGCCAATCTGAGTGCTGCTTGCCGGCCCATGAAGCCTCTCAAGCGAGGAGGCGTTGCTTGGAGGTCTGGTGTCTTCTCTGGAGCTCACCCAGACTTTTTTCATATGGATCCCTCTGGATTATTTGGACTCAATCGGGACCATTGTGTAGTTTTGTGCTGGCTCTCCGAAGGTCCATCTCTCTCTAAAAGCGTCTTGGTGCTCAACGGCTGCAGAGAGCCGATCAGAACCAGACCAGAACTGGACTAAGGCTAGTGAGTCTCCATATAAAATTTTGTAGTAACTACTGTGCAGTACATACACGTATGTTGTTACAATTACACAGTTTTAAGAGTTTAGAACATTGCAAGAGTGTGGGGTTTAAAAAGCCTTAAAATATACATAAATACTAAAATAAATATAGTGTTCCTACTTTATGGTTTTTTGCCTGTCGCGGGGGGGGGGGGGGGGGGGTGGAATGTAACCCCATGCAATAATCGAAACTACTGTAAAACCCATCTTTAGTTAGATGGGTAATTCAGTTACATAAAAATAAAACAGCATAAAACAACACTCAAGGTCAGGAAATATAAAAAAATAACACAAGCTACAGTATAGTAGCTAGGTATAAATGTGCAAGGGTGTGGGGACGATATTTGGTCCCATTTCATTGGTTTTAAACAGTTTTCCGCTTGCTGTGGTTGTTCGTGAATTGCATGCTTTTGGTCAGTTTCTGCAAGGAAATAGCCAGAATTTTTTTGATAGTATATATGTAAAGGAAAGGACCTCCTACCAACTTCCATTCCAATTGTTCACTTCCATTCATTATTCTTGTGTGAGCAGCTACAAGAGGGATGATACAGGGCTTTTCAGAAACAATTATGTTGCTGACTATTTCGCACATGCTCACTATGTGCTTCGTGCCCTAGAAACCCTCTTTAAGCTGCATCTGGTCATTTATAAAACATCAATGACCTGCATAGATGTGAGCTTTTATTGATGAAGCCACCATCGCAAAATCAAAGAAGTCGTGGAGTGTACAGTGCGATTGAAGGAAATACTTTAAGTGCTACACATAAAATATAGGTCAGACTTTCCACATTCTGAATCACAGTGGACTATATTTTGGCATTGTATTTTTATTTCAATACTGATTTTTAAGCTGAATCTCATACTGCATATATACAGACCACCAACGGGACCCCGTAAGTTGAAGCCAGAACAGGACCAGCCCCTGCAGGCTGGTTCCAAAACAAGTTTTAAGCTCCGCTGCCTCGATGTAACAAATGGTACATTTCCCTTGGTAAAATAACAAAATACACCTCAGATCTATTTTTCAGGAGCCGACTCTTGTTGAGTGTTCTTACAGTATCTTGCTGTATCAAATATTCATTTGTGAATACGTTTGACAGTAATTAATTATTTCATGCTTAAAATAAAGTTCTCGTGGCACCATGATTGTGTGCAGGAGAGTATGTGAAACTTAAAGCCTCACATTCCTTCAACCAGAGACTCTGGTTACAAAAATACAAACTGGGTCCTGCTGAATTTCAACAAGAGAAAGTAGAGAAAACTTACTATTTAATATATACAGTACAGTCTATACCAAGACACAAGTCTCAGTTTAGACAATATTTAGGCTTTTCATCTCAACATCATGCGATCTTAACTGATACTAAATTGTTCTCGTTTCCTTCTTGTGGATCAAATTAAACAATTTGGCTGTTTAGCTGAAGAAAATCTTTAATCCCGACCAGAACAGAGCTGCTAGTCTGCAGAGCTGGTGAGTAAAATATTGCAGTACTGTACAGTACATATACGCATGTTGTTAAAATGACGTAGGTTTAAGAGTTTAGAACATTGCAAGAGTGTGGGAAGGGTTTATAAAGCCTTAATATATATATAAATACTAAAATATATATGGTGGTCCTACAATGTGGTTTTTCACCTATGTCGGGGGTGTTTGGAACTAACCCCGCGCAATAATCAAGGGACAACTGTACTGTATATGCAAAAAGACAGTTAACCAAACAATAAGGCTTATGAATTTGCGTTATGTTTTGGCGTGATGAGAAATGATTCCTGTTTGAGTCATTTCTGCGGAGTGAGTGTGTCAACATTCACTGCAAGCACTGCATCTACAGCTTGTCGTCGTTCCCAGTGCAAAGACACTTGGCTGAGATGCTGCTGGCCAAATGAAAACAGTGTAGTACCGTACTGTCCATGCTGCATTGAGATAGAGGGAAAAAAATTGTAGAGAAACTGGAACTGATTGATATCACTTCTGATCACGGGGATTAAGACAATGTTAACTCAAGATGCTGGTGGTTTTGGTGCGAGAAGCGAATTAGCAACACAGTTTGAGTAAGAACAAAGACGACCAGGATTGGAAGCATCAGCTCAGTTAAACCTTAGCACAAACTGTGTCTACTAAACACAGACAGATTAAAGCGTACTTACCTTTGCATAGTGCAGCTCTACCCCGTAGAGCTCCAACGTTCGTGCTGTGTTCAGATAATTAAACTCTGCCTGGGCAGGAGATAGACCACTGAGAGGGAGGAGGGACCAACAAGGGTGTGAGAGCGAATGGACCATGGACGTCAGGGTAATGTTTGAGTTGAATGAGGGGGGGGGGGGGGGGTGACAACAACAAAAAAAAGATACAGAGATCAATTAAAACTAGCAGGAAAAAAATAAAAAGTTGAAAATGTTGAAATTGTGTGCACATTTGTAAATGTCAGCTCGTATTTAAATACACAGAACAAATACATCTTACATGTGTTTTCTTTATTTTTATTATTTTAACAGCCTTCTAAATAATGCACAGTAAAAAGGGATTTAATTACAGTTTTTGACTTTATTTGAATCTTAGCACTTCTGTTTTAATTATTTCCACCACTGACACATTTCCACGCAACAGTTTTATGAGCACATGTCTGTGCGAACGGACTCGCCGAAGCATTCCTGTTCAAGTTCAAGAGTACCTGTGCTGCTGGTGATGCTTGGAGACCTCTTTGTGGAAGTCTTGGGGGGGATTAGGAATGAAGCAGTATTCAGACAGATAGGCAGGAGGATGCTCAGTTTCACTGTAGTCCCCCAACTCAGCTACAGAAAAGAAGAGACAAAGAACATATTATGAAAGGGTGAACTGAAGCATGAAACAAAACCAAATATAATCACAAAATCAGTTTATTTATTTATTTTTTTCAGTTTAAGGTTGAATTTCTCTAAAAGTTTGAACACTGGTTCATTCAGTCTAAATGAATGGATTGATCTCAGGGTTCCTGAGACGATGTTCTGATTAAATATTCTGCAGCAAGAAAAATGCCTTTGAAGAATCATGCTATGTCCAATTATTGACAAATTCCACAAATTGATAGATTTTATACTGAGAAAGGTTGGTTTTAAACTCAAAATGACAAAACATAAAAAAAAAGAACTGCAATGTGTTTTCTTTTAAAATTTGTATTGAATTACAGTAGACCCTCGCTACTACAGGGTTCGTTTTTCGCAGACTCGCTCTATCATGGTTTTTCAAAATAAGATTGGACATGACACAACTGGCTGATTGATGGATGAGCCGCACGATCGGCATGGATTTTTCGTTTAAAATAAATTATTTTAAATGATTTAGCAACTGTGTGCAGCCCACAGCTGTGGGAGAAGCTTTCTCCTGCAGCTGATCAGCTGATCTCTGCTCTGCACAGAGATCGGAGATCAGCTGATCAGCATGCAGAGCAGAGAAGTGGGCGTGGCCAAGAGTACAGTCGAGACAGAAAGTGGAGATCGTGACATGCTGTGCTCTTTTGGAGCGTTTAGAAACATAGTTTAGAATATTGCAAGTGTGGGAAGGGTTTAAA